CCCGGGTCTTCACCACCCACCTCTTTCTTGCCTCCCGCGTGCGCGCCCTGCGCGCGGGGCACGTCTCACGTAGAGGCGTCGGGGTGGTGTCACTTACACAGGCTTCCAACAGTCACTTCTTGTCCTTAATATAATAATAATGGATGTGGGGTGACGACAGACAGAAGTTTTCACACTCTGATAGCCCGCCCTCACCTTGACCTTGTTGATTCCATTGCCAGCTGTCCGTGCTGGGCGTAGCCTGCCTGGATGCCCGCCTGGGGTGGCGTCCCCGGGCCTGGGGGATTCCATGTGGCCAGAGGGGGTGCCCCGGGGGAGGCTGAACAGAAAGGAGTTCTGAATGAGGTGTGGAAGGCAGAGAGGAGCACGGCACGGTGGGGAAAGTGTGGGAAACGGCAGGGGACAAAGCCAAGTGTCTGGCCAGGAGCAGGGGGCCGCAGGGTCCTAGTCAGGGCGGCCGCCGAGACGGAGGCCGGGCGGTCACGGGCTGCCTGCCCACTCTCCCGCCCCCCCTTCTCTGTGGCTGAGGCGCCTGGTGTTGGTGCTGCGTATGCGGGCGGGGCTGCGGGGCTGTCCCGCGTTTGCGTCGGCCCAGAGCTGAGGTGGGGGCGGTGGGATGAGCGCACGGAGACACAGCTCCTGGCGTGGTGGGGAGGCCCTCGGAGGGCCGGGCGTCAGGACACACTCTGCACACCAGCCGCGTGGACCTGGGCAAGCCAGCACCTTCTCTGAGCTCCGGTTCCCTTGTCTGCCGAGTGGGGACCCTGGGCCGTGTGCTCTTCCACCCGAGGAGACCCAGTCGCGGGCATGGGTGGCCCGGCGCAGGGCGGGACGTGAGCCTGTGCTGCCCTGAGGCAGTTTTGAGAGCGGGGAGCTGGAGGCAGGCAGGGGCTTTACAGCCCAGAGCGCATTCCCGGCCCCGAACATGCGAGGCCCTCCGTGTGTCCCTGCGGGGGTGGGGGGTGCCTTCCTGGTCCTGCTGCTTCTCTGGGAATTCCTGCCGGGGCTCGACCTCGGAGCCCCAGCTCAGGTGCTCCCTCCTTGGCATCTCGGGACCCTCAGCACCCAGCACACGGCCGGGCAGCCTGCAGGCCAGCAGGGCGTGGGTCAACGTGCCTTGCCCAAGACATCACTGACCACTTGTGTCTTTGTGTCCCCGTGTCCCCCTCCAACGGTACAGTCACACCCTGTCGCCAGGCTGGAACTAAGGAGTGACGTGCTGGAGATGGAGGTGAGGTGGTCGCACACTGGCTGTAGGTCCCCACCCATCCCCAGGCAGCCCTGGGGTGGTGGCTGGCTTCCCTGCCGTGCTGTGGCCTGTTGAGTGGGAGTCAAGGGCCGCTCTTGTTCTCTTTGGGTCCAGTGGGTTTTGCTTGAACTGCGTGCACCAAATCTTCTCCTGGGGAGGGTGGTCTCTCACTCCTCCCCGCCCCCGAGTGGCTGGGGCGACAGCCTGACTTCTGTGCAGTGAGGTGTGGCTCAAGGGACGGCTGCGGGGTTGGAATGGGGAAGAGACAGGGTCTCATCTCGGGTCTCGGTGACTCCGATTTCCGTTTCCCGAGTCCCCTCCCACATCAAAGATCCTTGGGGCCGGATCGTTAATACGAGTTAAAGATAAGTCTGAGTGAGGGGGAGGTGGCAGAGCGAGCTCCTTTTGGAAGAACAGCTTTCAGGAGTCTGCAAATAAAAGCTGATCGCCCTGGTTTGGGTTCTTTCCAGAAACTCTATTCCCAAGCTATTTATTTTCGGTTCCTATTTTAAATTTGTTTTTGGCAAAAGAAAAATAAAGGCACTTGACTACTTTCTGTTCTCGGGTAGGAAACTCTCACACTCGGGGTGACCCGGAGTGGCCGGCCAGTAGCCAGCGGACGTGTGTTTCAGCTGCTCTGGCCGTGGGCTCCCCGCAGGCTGGTGGGTGCCCCGGGGAGACGCCGGGCTGTGGGCTTTCCGGGGAAGTGCAGGTGTGTGTGTTGGCAAGGAGAGAAATTTGCGTTCAGACCTCAACTGGATCAACACGAAGAGGTGTCCCGATGGCCCACGCTGGGGCAGCTCGAGCGTCGGACAACGACGACCTCAGTAGATGAAAACCCTTTATAAACACGGGGGATCAGCATGACCCATGAGACAGTGGGTGAGGGTGAGGATGATAATAATGAGGCAAAAACTGATGGATCGCCGTCAGCATTGCTGGCATCATTCCTTTATTTTGAAGACTTATGAGGGAAAGAATCTTTTTTTTTTTTTCCAGACGTGGCCTACCCGAGGGGGGAGGGAGGCCCAGAAGGAGGGATGGGGGGAAATCCGTCCGTCCGTCCGTACTGGGTGCTGGGATGTGAGGCGCTGCTGTTCCCCCTCCGCGCCAGGTTGGCCGGCTGCCCGGGAAGGCCGGCAGGTTCCTCCCCCGCAGGTGGCCAGAGGGCGGGGAGGCGGCCTGCGCCGGAGCAGAGGGTGGGTCCGGTCCCTGCCCCACCTCGTACGCGCCGGGAGACCTCAGGAAAATCACATTACCGCTCCGAGCTCCGAGCTCCTGTTTTTCAAGAGATGGTGTGGGGGGGCAGTAATCATGCCTCAGAGGTATCCAGGGTAAACTGAACAAAAGGCTCAAGGCCACCTAATCGTCAGACGAAAAGCAGGTTCCCTCCCTGCCCTCGGGTGTCCCAGTAGAGTGTCCCCGAGGGTCCATGGCCACCGTGGCCTCCGCATGTCCGCCTCTCGCCCCTGCCGGAGTGGCGTCACCAGACGTCTGCTGGTGGCTGCGGCTCCCTCTGAAACCGCACTGGAACTGCCCACATCTCAACCACCCGTTGTGAAATCATTAGAACGGCGTGTGGTCGGAAAGGACTGTCCTGCACGGCTGACCACAGGCTCTGGACGGAAGAGTCTTGCACAACAGGCGGTGGGGCTGGTCCGCCTCTGAAGTGGAGCTTGGAAGCCCCGCGCGCACAGGCCCTGGGCTGTTGGCGAGGCCAGCTGCTCTCGGGGCTGAGACGCAGGGGGGCCGTGTAGCGGGGCAGGGGGAGAGGGGGCTGCGGGGCCAGACACACCCGGGTCGGAGCCCGCTGGACACGCTCCGGCCCTGCTTCCTGGCTCAAGTCACGTGCTGTCTTTGGGGCCCCGTCTCCTGTGGGGGGTATGAGACAGAAGACGTGTCCTAGAAAGCTGGTGTACGTGCCTAAGAAGCCTGTCTGGTCCGAGGAGGTGACATCTGGCAGCTGCGGACTCTTATCAGTGCGCTCGGGTGTGTGCTGAGCGTGGCCGAACTCTCACCCTCGCTCCGGGTCGCACCTTCACCTTGTGAGCGTCTCCCCGCGGCCTTCAGCCCTCGTGGGGCTGAGGTGGAGCCCCAGCGAGAGGGGGTGACTCAGCACGTTCCCCGGGAGGCGGGGGGCTGGAACCCCACTCTCGGCGGGCTCTCCCTGCTCTGCCCGCACCCCCTGTGTGAGTGTCTGCCCGCCCGGTGGCCAAGCGTCATCTCAGAGATGCAGGTCTTTTTCTGGAGTGTCCAAAAAACCCAAAAAAAACAGTAAAGGAAAGGGGCTTGAACAGTGAAATCCATTGTCTCTTGTATTTGTTAGATCCACTTAGGAATCCCCTAAGACATGTCAATGCCACTGGAGGTCAAGGGCAGGGCGCCTCCCCAGTGGGATGGGTGGTGACGGCGGTCGCAGGTCAGAGGGATCCGGCTCCGGGCAAGGGCCGCACCCCCCACCGCCCCACCCCGAAAACAAACATTCCCCTCCTCGGCCCCAGTGGTCAGGCCCGGCCCAGGCACTGCTGCGGCTGACAGTGGCTTTATTACCCTGGGGAAGCTGGTAGAGTTCATGTGCAAGTTCATGCTGCGTGTCCGCCGGCCCCGCCGCGCCTGTGAAGTGGTCATGTTTCATTTCTAACTGAGAGGATGACAAAGCGGACGTCGGGTGTCCGTGCCAAGGGAAGCTGTTTCCGTGCAGGCTGGCTGGCCTCGTTGAGAGCGCCCACCCAGAAGGGGGGGCGTTCTCTGTCCGACCGCGTCACGGCACCAGCACGGCCTGTGCCCCCTGCCCCCACCCGTCTCCGGCCGGAGGTCTGGGACGGGACCCGGGGTCCAGTCGGACGAAGACCCACGCCGGTGTCCACGGCCCGCAGGAGCCGGGAACCACGGAGCTGCAGACCGCACGTCCAGGCCCCCGCTCTGCCAGGCGCTCCGCTGGGGGCTCATGGCAGTGAGACGCCGTCAGATGGGTTTGCCCTTTGCGTCCCGACCGCGGGTGGGCTGACCTTCAGTTCAGGCCCGGAGACAGATGAGTGCAGCCCAGCCCCCGTCCTCTCTCCGTACCGGGGAACGCACGTACCAGGCCATCCCAGTGGGACGGGCCAAGTGCAAGGGCGGGAAGACACCCAGCCGGGCACCCAGCAGCGGGGGAGCTGTGGAAGGCTTCCTGGGGGACGGACGAGTCTGTGGGATGCACAGGAGCCAGGGAGGGCGGGGCCTGGAGCCAGGGAGGGCGGGGCCTGGAGCCAGGGAGGGCGGGGCCTGGGACAGAAGATGCACCCACCTGCCTTGGCTGCCCTGGCCCCGGCTCCGAGGACCGGGGCTCTGCCTGTGTCGGGAGGAGGCGCAGTGGCCAGAGTCGAGAGTCTCACGCTAGACACGAGCCGCCCTCTCTCCCCGAGGCGACTGGGCAGGGGGCTTTTGTCACCATGCAGGAGGAGCTCTCGGAGATGGGAGGGCATCGGGGCGGCCCCGGCAGACTCGTCCGGATGAGCTGCAGGCTTGGGGGCTCCCTCCTCCCCTTCCGCTTGTCATGCTCGGGCTCGGGGACCCATGGCCAGCACAGCGCACTGTCGTCACGACAGCAAAGTCACTTCTGCGCCTGGCTCACGTGGACCTTCCTCAGATCTGCATTCTGCTCATGTGTCCAGTTTCCTTCGCGGCTGAGAAGCGGCCGGCGGGGCGGGGCAGGGCGGGGCGGGGCGGGGCATGCCCAGTGCACTGACCGCGTCTCGCGTTGCCCCCGCAGCTCACGTGGAGAACGAGGAGCAGTACACCCAGGCGCTGGAGAAGTTCGGCGGCAACTGCGTGTGCAGGGACGACCCGGACCTGGGGAGCGCCTTCCTCAAGTTCTCGGTGTTCACCAAGGAGCTGACGGCGCTCTTCAAGAACCTGGTGAGTGTCCTCCTGCGCCCGCCGCCCCCCGGGCCGCGTGGGGAGCCCTGCGCCCCTTCGGTGGGCAAGGTGGTCCAGAGAGGGCCTTCAGGGTTTGTTCGCTAAGCCAGGAATGGGTTTCCCGGCTCATGGGGTCCCGAGCATTCCCCGTACACGTTAGGTCAGTTTGGAATCCACTTTATTTTTATTTATTTTTTTATTATTATTTTTAAAGTGTTCTTTTTTTTAAAGATTTTATTTATTTATTTTTAGAGAGGGAAGGGAGGGAGAAAGAGAGAGAGAGAGAAACATCCATGTGCGGTTGCTGGGGGCCGTGGCCTGCAACCCAGGCATGTGCCCTGACTGGGAATCGAACCTGCGATGCTTTGGTTCACAGCCCGCGCGCAACCCACTGAGCTACGCCAGCCAGGGCTGGAATCCATTTTAGAATGGGGGCACTGAACGAGTCTTTGAAAGCTCTGGGTGGCATTCCCACCAGGCACAGCTGTGGGACGAAATGGGTGAATGTGTTCGTGTTTTCAGAGGCCCCTGACTTCCCTTTTTAACAGGTTTTAAACGGGGTAGCCTAGTCTGTTCCTGGTCATTGTGGTCGGGGCTTGAGCCTAAAATATTGAATAAACGTGTTTCAGACCTGTCTCACACAGCAAGGTAACCTGCAGTCAGAGCTCGGAAATTACCGCGGACATTTTAAAGCCCTTTCTTCTCCCAAATGTGGAGCCTGAAAAAAAGGCCTCACTTTGAAGGGAGCGTGGAAGCAGGGAGCTGTGCTTCTGGCCCGCGGGGGTGCCTGGGAAAAGCGAGGTGAATGGAGTTCTTTCCGGAGCCCGGCAGCCCCCAGCCGCCCCCGCCCCCGCCCCCGCCCCCGCGGTGGGAACAGAATTCTGAAGAAGCGGGCGGCCTGCGAGGGCGTCTGGGACCGCCGGGTCATTTCTTCCACCCGGGGAATGTCCACTGGGGCCGTCCCCGCATCCCCTTCCTGTTTTTCTCCCCCAGCTCCTCCCAGAGGTCACGGGCGACCAGACCGGGTGTTGAGCTCAGGGAGGCTTCCCTGTAGGTCGCAGACCACAAACAGCGTCTTTCTCATCGCTCTTGTCCGCGGGCTCATAACAAGTGAGAAAACAGGTCCTTGTTCTTGAAGCGGCCGGCGGTGGTGGAGGGTGTGCCAGCCCGGCCTTGGCAGGGCCGGTGCCAGGGGACCCGCACAGGGGCTAGTGACAGGCAGGGGGACCCCGTCCTCCCGGCTCTCCGGCCCTCTCCCTGTCTCTCCACGCGTGAAGTGTCCCAGTTGGACATGGTAAACATAAGAAGTTGTTGCTGTGCTTAAGGATTGTTTTTTTTAACTTGGTTTAATTTGAGATCTCGTGGGTCTTCTCTCAAGTCTGTCACCTGCGTAGCCCGGCCCCAAATGGACCGCCAGCGTGCTCACTGAGCGGCAGAGCCCCTTCCGGCCCCACTACCTGGACACGGACAGGCGTGCTGACCTCGCCGCTGACTCAGACTGGGGCCTTTTTTTTTCTCTTTGAACCGGAGAATCCAAACGGTCCCAGGGAGAGCGCGGTCGATGCTGACGTGGGGGTCTTCTCGTGACGGCATCAGCCTGGCCCCCCAGCCCCGGGCAGGCACCTCGGAGCAGCTCCTCAGCACCCCCCCCGCCCCCAACATGAGCACATAGCCCCCAGAGCTATGCAGACCAAAGTAAACAAACAAGGAAGGAAGCGGAGGCACGGAAAGAACAGAAGAGAACTTCTGAAGACCCCGTGTTTGATTCCTCAGGGACATCAGAGTGGACACTGCATCTGAAAGAGGAGGGGGAGTCCATCAGAGGAAGAAAACATCAAAGGAAAATCCCGGGGGAAGGGCTGGAGTAGGAGTCGCCTCTCAAAACACAGACTGAAAAGACGAAAAAACAGGAATGGATAAAAGACTAAACGAGGGTGAACTCCAGGTTCAGCATCCCGCCGACAGGCATTTCAGAGAGAGAAGAACAGAGGGGCTTTGTGGGCGCCGCAGAGCCGAGGAAGTTCCGCACGCTGAAGGATTCGCGCGTGTCCGGCACACAGAGGGAGAGGACCCGTCCCCCGGCCTCTCCGTGTGAAGCGGCCGAAGACCCTGAACGCTTCCCGGAAGCACGCGGGATTAGGAACGGCAATGGCCTTGGACTTCTCAGCGGTACCTCGGGGAACGGGAAGGTCCGGAGCAGGCCCCGACACGCCGGGGACCCGAGTCCCACCCTGGCGGTGGCACCCAGCTGGCTGGGCTCCAGGGCCAGAGGCCCGCCCCTGCACTCCCGCACGCCACCTCTCGGCAACCCCCAGAGGGTGTGTGTTGGCAAAGGGAAGGGGGAAGGTGAGGAAGGGAAAGATGGGTGAGTCAGCAGGTAGCACCCGGCCGCAGGAAGCAGGGAAAGGGGTCCCAGGAGGAGGCACTGGAGGGCCCAGTGGGGTGACACGCAGGAGGCCAGCCTGCCCCCCACCCCAAGACACCGTCTGCATTCAGCGGACCCCACCGTGGGTCTTCTCAGCTGTCAAATGGCCGGTGCCTCTGGGGGCACGCTGGAGTCCCTGCAGCCAGCGGCTTAGGGGTGCCGCCACTCCGTGGATGCCCTGTGGGAAGCGCTGGCCTGGCCTGGCCTGGCCTGGGGCGTGCTGGCGCGGTCAGTGCTCCTGGCAGCTCTCCGGGTGTGTGACCTTCCTCTCACCTTCATCTCACTTACTAGCCAGGGACCAAGTGGGGAGTCCAATCTGGGTTTTAACCCTCTCAGCCCCTGCCCTTCCCACCGTGGCGCTCAAACTCCGGGAGGGAAAGGACCGAGCAGGAGGGGCGGTCAGTGAGCGGGACGGTGCAGCGGACGGGCCACGGGCACCCCGCCGGCTGGGCCTTCCTTAGAGCAAGGACGAGAAGACCGTGCCCGCCTCGCAGGGCCACCTGAGGCCACCCACCGTCGAGGTCAGAGGAGTAAAAGTGGAAGGTTTTTTGTAAGTTAAAGCCCAGCCCACCGGTGACACGTCAGTGTCTGTTATGAAAGGCTCGTCAGTTGAAGTCCATGTGCTTTACTCTGGTTTCGCTTTCACTTCGTGGAGTTAGGGCTGTCCGACCCTGCTTCCTGGCGAAGATCGGGGGCGGGGGGAGAAAGACAGAGACAGAGAGAGGGGCAGAGAGAAACGGGGGCGGGGGGGGGGACAGAGAGAGACACACACACCCGGGGAGAGAGACAGAGACAGAAAGACAGGGGCCAAGTGGTGGCTTCTATGAAGCTGTTGCTGAGACTGAGCTGATTATAGGAGAATTCTCCTTTTTTGGTATTTTGTATACCGTTCTTACTCCTATTTTTGGTCACATCTCTCCTGTCTCTCATTTTTAAAACCTTGGGTTGGCTCTTCCCTGGGCGTTTAGAAAAACCTGGCCGCTCCACACGGCTCAGAGCCTCGTGCCTACCCCTCGTCGGGAGGAATAACAATCACCTCCCACCTGCTTCGGCGTGGAAGCATGTTTGTACAGCAGTCGGAGCACCTCCCAAGAGAGGCCAGCTCGCTGCACGGTGAGGCTCTGTTACCAGCGGGCGGGACGCCGTGCACCCTCAGAAAGTCTGCGGATTTCCCCGCAGCCGTGCGGGATGGGGGAGGAAACGGGCGTTCCCGAGATGTGACGCGCGTGTTAAACCGATTACAGAGTCAGCCCGGAGTCTTAGGTTCCGTTCCTCCCGGCAGATGGCTGTGAGAATGCTGGGAAGGTTTTTTTTTTTCCCAAAGGGCACATCTGTACCGAGAAGCGCCTTTTTAATGAATGAGTGGCTGCCTGGAAGGACTCGTTTCCGACTGGGCGGTTGCAGGTCTGTAGCCTCCGGCTGCGGCTGCAGAGGCTCCGCGGGGGAATGGGTCCTCCGGGCTGCAGAGCCCGCTCTGGCCGCTGACCGCCGGGCCCGCGGACGCTGAGGCCAGGGTGGACGCCCAGTGTGAGTCCGGGGAGCAGCTGGCCAAGGGGTATCACGTCTGACACTCAGCCAGAACGTGGAGCGTGGAAGTTCCACCAACCAGCGTGCACGTGTCATGCTTTGTGTTCCCCCCCTCCACAAGTGGTTGGAGCTGGAGGACTTGGTAGGCAGAGTCGAGAGCTGGGGAGGGTCTGTGGGGGCACGAGGGGTCGAGTGCGGCTTTGCCCAGGTGCCGTGCGCAGGGCCCAGCCGAGAGGCCCCCCCCGGCCGCACCGGCCCCAGGGGTAACTGAGTTCCTCCCATAAATCACAAACACGTCACTACTCATCAGCGGAGGCTGGGGCTGCCCGGGCACCAGGGACGTGCACTCATCTCTTGGCCGTGGCTTTCATCCCTCTGGGCCGGGATGGATGGTCCAGCCTGCGGCTGCCTGGGCCGCCCCAACACTCGCGGTCCCGGAAGGACTCAGAGCCGGTCCTGGAGCTGCAGGGCTCCCTGGCCGGGGCGGGGCATCCGGGCCCCAGGGCACCCGCTCTCTGGCGCGGGCAGATGAGCCGCCGTTTCCGGGGCGCTCCCCGGAGTGAGCCGGCGGGTGCTAAGGAGCCGTCAACGCAGAGGGCGGGCAGGCGACTACTGCCCAGGGGCGTGGAAGCCTTACGAATCAGTCTGTTGGTGGGGATTCCGTGTACGTTTGGAACAGTTCCTTTAAAAAAAAAAACACGGCATTATTGAGGTATATTTTACATGTCTTAAAGTTTACCCGTTTCAAGGGTGCCCGTCGGCCATTTCTAGTAACTTGACCAAGTGGTGCAGCCTCGTCGTGGGTCAGTTTGGGGACGTTTCCCTCCCCCCAGGAAGGCCCCTCGCGTCTGCTCCCATTTGACCCCCCTTTTCCGCCCTCAGTCCCAGGTGACCACACGTCTACGCTCTGTCTCTTTGGTAATGGCTTAGCTAACTATTTGCTGACTAGAGAAGTCACAGTCTCCTATTTTAGGTCATTTAAGGGACCCCCCGGAAAGGAAAGCAGCCTGGAATGACGGCCAGCGTCCCCCCAGCTGGTCCGGCGGCCGGAGCTCTCTGTCCCCCGCGCCGCTGGCCGCCGTGTCCGCAGACCCGTGCCTGTCCACGCTGCTCCCCGCGGCCCCCCCCCCCGCCCGGAAGGAACCCCCTCCACCCCGTCTCGCAAGACAGAACTCTCCCCGTCTCTTCACGGTCTTTCTCACAGAACCCCCGATCGGGCAAGAGTTCCCTGGCCTCCAGACGGAAAGTAGTTTTCTCTTCTGGGAAATTCCGCGGCGATTTATTTATGGCTCCGGAGTTTTCACGAGGCCATTTGCTCACTGAGACGTGCGCTCTGTCTCCCCGGCTGAACCCTGAGCCCCGGAAGACGGAGGTCCTCCTTCGTCTTCGTCCCCTGATCCCTCTGTCTGTCCTCGGCCTCCTCTCCCGCCACTCCCGGGGGGCCCACGTGTCTCCCGAGGACCGTTCATCACGGCCGTAACGGCTGTTTGATGCCGTGTCACTGCGGGGCGGGGGCCCTGTCACCGGCGCCCGGAATGACCGTGAGCTGGCGAGTGTGGGTGGGTCACCGTAGGTCTTCCGTCTCGTCCATCGTAACGTTTCACTGCAGACACCCAAGCCGAGTGTGAGTCTTCTCACCCCGATGCCTGTTATCAGCACCTTAGTGCTTACCTGAATCAGACGACAGAGTCTCAAAGTAGATGTGAGAACCAAATTGTGATTGACGGTCTTTGCTCCTGCTGTAGAGAAGCTTGATTTCCTGGCTCATTCACCCGCGTGCTCCTGCTTACTCACACCCCTGTTAAAAACCTACTGGACTGCTTCCTAGGGTTACGATGGTTTTAAATCCTCACCCGAGGATGTATTTATTGATGGGGGGGTGGGTAGTGGAAACAGGCATCGGCGTGAGAGAGAAACATCGGTTGCCTCCCACACGTGCACTGACAGGGAGAGGGTCGAACCTGCAACCTCGGTATGTGCCGTGGCTGGGGATCAAATCTGCAGCCCTTGGGTGCGTGAGGCGATGCTCTGACCAATTGAGCCACCCGGCCAGGGCCTGGAACTACGAGTTTTCATCCCAAAGCACCTGGCTCTTTTTTCCTGCCGACCCACCCTGAACTGGGTGGTCCTGAGCCGTTGGCTCAGGCTCCCACCCCGAGCAGCTGGGACCCCCCTTCAGCTGGTTGCACGCCCCTTGGTTGCACGTGGCTCGTCCAAGATGGCGCCGCATCGGCTCCTCTCCGGGGCGAGTTCACGACCCAGCCTGCCTGCGCCCCTGCCTCCGGCCACGGCTGCCCTTCCTCCCCGAGCCCAGGCCGGCCCCCCTCACCGCTCAAAGCCAGAGTCATGGCTTCTTTCTCCAACGAGCCGTTGGTATCGGCGCAGAGTAGAAGGTGCTGCATGTGGTCCTGGACCTTTTGTTCGGCTCTTGGTGTGTCTGTGTTTACCCTTCCTCTGAGGTGACAAGCGTCCGTCTTGGTTGTCATGGTAGCGGTTTGTCGCCATCTACAAAACAGGCGCTCGGTGGACACGAGGCGAGTGACCTAACAAGACACCGCGCGTGTTTGCTGTGTGTCTCGGGGTTCAGAGGTGTCGGTGTCCTCGAAGCCCTCCAGCTTGTCGCCCTGTACTGGATGCTCAGCTCAGAAAAGTATTTCAGTGTACTGATTCGCCCACCAGTGCTCGTGCAGCGTCTGCCCTGGGCCAGGCCCTGTGCGCGGTGCTCCGGAGGATGCAGGAGCTGACGCCCCCTCTGGGGTGCGTGGTGTGGGGCAGGTAACACCAATGCCGGTAAGAGCCCACCACGGGCCTTAAAAGGCTTTTCAAAAAGGAAGTGCTGGAGGACTGGGGGAGGGAGGGGCCGCTTCCTGCCGGGAGGTCGGACCTTCGTGGAGGAGGTGGCCTCCCAGTCGGTCCCGATGGGTGGGAGGTTCTGAACAGCGGGGACTCGGGGGAGACCGCAGGGGAACAGAACAACTCCAGCGCAAGCGCAGACTCGGGTGGGCCAGGACAACAGCAGAGCTCCGCCGGACCGATGCGCAGACCGGAGGTGGCAGACGAGGCTGGGGTGCCAGTGTCTCCCGGGCAGGACGCGTTTCGTCTTTGTGGGGGACACGAGGCTGGGCCAGTCTGGCAGCACTGCCAAGGAGCGGCTGGGGCTGGCTGAGAGGGCGTGGTGGCCGGAGCAGGGAGGTGTGGCCTCAGTGCAGACCAGGAGCTGTGAGAGCCAGCCGAGGGACCTAGGGATGGGAGGTGGAGGCTGGGGGGAGCGAGTGTGGGGAGGAGCAGAGGAAAGGTGACTCCCAGGGAGGGCCCAGGAGGCTGGGTGGGTGCGGGAGGGCCCCAACAGGCGTCCTGCAGGCTGAGGGAACTGGGACGAGATGGGGGTGGAGCTGCGGCCCGCACGTGTGTTTACGGCCACCCCGGTCCACCGTGGGACCCCGAGTGGGCTCGTCACCCGAGGTTACGCACCGGCACAGCCACTTCCTCGTCACCGTTAGTCGTCCACATGACCTCGCCTTCAGTTCAACTTTCTGGAATCTAAAAAATTTAACCCTCGGGCGGGTCCTGGCAAGTCCCGGCTGGTGACCTGGCACCTTGGAGCGATGCCGGGTGCGTGACGGGTGCTGAGCTGGCGGAGCAGGACAGAAGTGGCCCCCGAAAAGGCGTCTCTGAAATGAGTCACTAGCGACCACGCGCTTGGCAGGGCTGGCAGCCGGCTCAGGTGCCATCGGGTGGACCTCCCTGGCGCTTTTCAAGCCAACGTCTTTCTCCGTTTTGACACTCGATACCCTGAATAGCACACCGAAGTCAGCCTCCACATTGCCTAAAAAACCGTGCCTATATTTAGCCCTCCTATTCCAGGTAATTATACTAAAAAGAAAGTTTTTCCGTGTTGGCTGCAAGAATGGATGCGTGAGGTTCCAGAGTTCTCGGTCCTCCTCCTCTCGGAGGCCTGTGACCCGGGTGTGTGGGACCCACAGGGACCCACGGGCCACAGGCTGGCAGTTGTGTCGACGTACAGGGCTGGTGGCACCTGGGGGCTCGAGAAAGTAGATCCCGGCTCATTTTCTCGGTCCCCCTGACCGAGTCGAAGTTTGTGTCCTTTGGGTGACTGGAATTTGCCGGCGGGGCGGCCTTGCTCCCTCTGGGTGTCCTCAGAGAGTGTGTCAGGAGGGGTGGGTGCCGCTCCATGTAGCCCGTGGTGACAGCCTGTTAGGCCACCAGTCTCTTGCCTTCTTGCTTCAAGGAGAAGAACAGGGGCCTGGAGACCTCTCGCCCGTCTTGCCTCTACGTGTCTCCTTTCCCTAGAAACACACCCAGCTGCACGCTCGCACATGCACACACAACATGCACACACAGGTTTGTGCACGCACACACATGCACACACACCTGCACACGACATGCACATGCACACACACACACCTGCACACACAGGTTCATGCACACACACCTGCACACGACATGCACACACACACACCTGCACACACAGGTTCATGCACACACGCACACACACCTGCCCACGACATGCACACACACGTTCGTGCATGCACACGCACGCACACACACCTGCACACACAGGTTCGTGCACACACACGCACGCACACACACCTGCACACGACATGCACACACGTTCGTGCATGCACACGCACGCACACACGCTCATAGGACACAGAAGCCCCTCAGTTTGTTTTCCTTCCAGTTTTCTCGGCCGGGAAATCGGGGCCTGGGGGCCGAGGGCCGAGTGAAGTGCCGGGGCCATGAGTGAGACAGGAAGTCGTGGTTCCTCCTTTTCCAGTGCCCTGCGGCGGTTCTCACGGCGATCGTTGGGAAATGTTTTTTATTTCTTTTTTTTTTTTAAAGATTTTATTTATTATTTATTTTAGAGGGGAAGGGAAAGAGAGAGAGAAGAGAAACATCATTGTGTGGCTGCCTCTCGAGCGCCCCCTGCTGGGGACCTGGCCCACAACCCAGGCGTGTGCCCTGACTGGGAATTGAACCGGGGACCCTCCAGTTCACAGGCCGGTGCTCAGTCCACTGGGCCACACCAATTGGGGTGGGAAATGTGTTTTCCTTGTTGGGATGGCCACCGTTTTCCCCCCGAGAGCTCACTAACAGAAAGTCAGCGTGGGAACCAGTGTGGAGACCTGCCCCTGGTGTGTGTGCATTGGTGAGAGTGGCAGTGACGGCCCCTCCCACTCTGCTGGCGGGTCTGCAGCGGGGGCCGCTCTCCCCGGGGGCCTCCGACACCCTGCCGTGCTGACGCAGGGGAAGGGAAGTCGAGCATAATCCTTTCTGGTTTGTTTTCCAGATTCAGAACATGAACAACATCATCTCCTTCCCCCTGGACAGTCTGCTGAAGGGGGACCTGAAAGGAGTCAAAGGGGTAGGACATGCCCCCCTTCCCCGGGGTGGGGGGACCGGGGTTCCAGACGCACAGTCACGGGCCCGGTGGGACAATGGCCGTGGGGTCCCATCCCGCCCCGGCACCACCCTTCCGCCCTCGCCGGGGTGACCTGTGGCCTTTCTGGGCGTCCTGTGGGGGCTCTGAACATGCAAGGGGGCGGAGGACCTGTGGGGAAGGAACCTTTGAGCGGTTTTGGGGCTCCAGTCTGGTTTTCCAGCCAGCGTGTCACTGGCTGAGCCCTGGGGACGGGACGCCCTGCGCTAAGGAGGCCCGAGCTGTCCTCCCGAGGACGCCCGCGGTCGAGGGAGGGCGGCGCGTCCACACGGAGCTGCCGTGCGGGTGAGGGAGTGAGGAGCGGGCGGGGCCCCGGTGGCGTGTGGGCGCCAGCAGCTGAGCACCGAGCTGCTTCTGCACAAGCGGACCTGCCCCGGCTCTTCGAGGGCCCAGTGCTTTGCTGGGGTCTCACAGGGCCCCTCTGGAGGAAGCCCAGCGTGGCTGGCCTCAGGGACACCTCTGCGGACGGAGCCCAGGGAGCTGCTGGGCAGGGAGGCGGGGCCGCCGAGCTGGTTGGACACCAGGAGTCTTCCTGCTGCCCTCCTGGGGCCCCGCTGGGGCCCGAGAACACCTGATGCCGAGGGTGGGGGTAAGGCCTGCGGGGGGGCGGGCAGGGCCGGCTCCTGGAGGGCCTCAGAGGCCAGGCTGCGGCACCGGGTCCTTGTCCTAAGGCCAACGAAGAGCCCCCCAAAAGAAGATCCCCGCCCCATCACAAGGGTTCTGTCTTCCCAACCAACCCTAACTGTGTGACAGAGTTGCTGGCAGCTCAGTGCGTTTTCAGGCCAGACTGGCTCCGAGAGCGTGGGGTCCCCAGTCCCAGGCACGAGTGTGGCCTCGGGAGACCTTGGGAGGTGAACGGCTTGTGTGTTGCTGGGGGCCCCCTCGGGCTTCCCTGTGCTGGGGAGATAGATCCCTGCATCGATGGGAAAGGTCAGAGAGACGGCAGAAACATGCAGGCTCAGTGTGGCGTCTCCCTGGGTTTAGCCGCAGAGCAAGTGACCCTCAGCGGTGGGGGGGGTGTGGGGGAGGCGAGGCGAGTCACCACTTTCTATGTCTTGAGCGACAGGCACCTCAGACGGTTCTCTCCCCCCTTTCCCCGTGTGCACTCGGTCCTTGAAAATGAAATGTTTAAAAAGAAAGAAGGAAGGGAATGCCACCGCCAGTCACGTTCAAAGCCCGGGCTCCGAGGTTTTTGTTTTTCGTGGGATCACAGACGCCATTTGTGATAAAAACCTACGCGCCACCCCCCCCCCCACCCCCAGATGGGCCCAGGGATAGGGGCCTCTCGCCCGGAGCAGTTGGTTAGCGACCGGCCTGTGTAACCTGTGCCCCTCCCCCCGCAGGATCTGAAGAAGCCTTTCGACAAAGCCTGGAAGGACTACGAAACCAAAATGTGAGTGTTTCTGTTCCAGAGAGCGAACACAGGTCATTTGAGATTTCCTTTGAAATTGGGCTTTGGCTGCTTTCAGGTGCTCGTCTGTAAGTGAACCCTGACCCAGGAACCCTGACCCAGAATTCGCCTGAAACTGTGTGGCTGTGGCGTGTTACGTAGCGAGCGAGATGCTTTTGTACCTGGCGTCTGAATTGCGTGATGCGCTAACCTCTGTAAACAGGTTTTTTCCTTGTCCCTTTTAATTGTGTCAGAATGGCTACAGAATGTCATTTTCAGGGAAGTTCATTGGAGGAAGTCGAGCGGTTTTTCTTGGTATTGCGTTCCCTTTTCTCCCCGTTCTCTCTGTTGGCGAGAGCAGCACATTTTGGGGGCCCTGCCCGTCCCCTCTGCTGGTCTGTGACAGAGCCACGCTTAGTGCGTGGTGTCCGTGGTGTCCACACTTCCCTGCAGGGCCTGTGGCTTTAGAAGGGTGGGGGGCAGCGATGGCGGGGCACCTCCCCGGCAGCCCCACGTGATTGCTCCACCGGCCGGGCGCGCGGGGGAGACAGACGTAGCGTGGGTCAGCAGAGGCCGTTGCCGTAGGATGGCTTCGGGCGGCGGTCGCTGCGCCCATCACCGCGTCCCAGTCCCGCGGCGGACGGGGCTGCGCTGGCCCGGACTGGGCCAGAGGCGGCGGGGAGCGGCTTCCGTCAGTTCGAATACCAGCTGAGGAACCGGGGCTGCTTTCAGATGCCTCGAGTTTGCCGTGTGGTTGCCGTGTGCTGGAGCCAGGGCCTCCCACGTGAAGCCCTCCGGGAGGGCAGGGGACGCGAGGAAGAAAGACGTGCCAGATGCAGCCACAAGCACCCAGCTGGTTTGGTTTGTCGTGTTGTTCCACCAGCCTCGGTAAAACATGCGGCAGTGAAGGGTTGCAGAGCTCAGACCTAGGAACACCGAGCCCCAGATACTCAGTCCCTCTGTGGAACTCCGTAACTCCCCCGCCCCACCGCCCCCCGAGCTGCCTGGGTCCCCGCGGTCTGGTTTCGTGCCCGGCACGCACTCGTCTAGAAGCACCGAGGGAGAGCTGACCGGAGAACGCGGGAGGCTCCCGGCCTGCCCCCTGGGTGGCCCGTGAGCACCCCTCCCGCACACCCCACTCCAGTCCGGTGGTCGGGGGAAGGGTCGCCATTCCTGCCTCAGCCGGGAGGCCGAGGCTCGGCGGGCGCAGCTCCTGCCCGAGCTACTGGGGCAGGAAGGGGCTTCTGAAGAGGGTCCCTGGGAGTCTCCTGTTCCAAAAGGGGGCTGAGGTCAAGTTCTGTAAAACCAACACACACAGGTAGGGAGGGACAGGACGACTCACGGAATCCCAGAACTGGAGATGGGGGCGCCCAGCACCCTTTAGAACCAGAAGGAATTCCAGGATAAATAGGTAAAGGCTGTAACTCTTCACCCACGCACACCTGAGGCTGAGTTATCCCAAGAGTCCTTGGGATGAGTAGCTAGCAGAGTTAAGACGTCTTTGAAATTCCTGGGCGTGAGCTCTGTATCCAGTTCTTCCGGGAGTGACTGGCCTCCAGATGGTATCCCAGTCCCTTGGGGTGCTGATGGGGAGCTTTGCGAGGTGTCGCTGTAGTTCCGGGGACCTCACGGCCCTCCGGTCCCACCCCTCACCCTGGTGCACAGGTCCCTTTAACAGCGCCCCCACCCGACGGGCATATGTTATTTAGAGTCTTACCATTCAATTGCTGAGCACCTACTGTGTGCCCCATACCGGGCTTCGGTGCAAAAAAACAAGAATTGGAAATGGCATTTCTTGCCTCGTTTTGACACCCCCTCCCCGGGGATGGGGAGCCCTGGAACCCCAATGTTCTGTGTCGGATACCTTCCTAAGCAATGCCGCTTACGCCCTCCTGCGTCTCCCACGAGGTTCACCAGGAAGCGTCTCCCCTCTCTCTCTCTCCACGGCAGCCTTTCCGTGGTCTTGTTCTGCTTTGCTTTGCTTGTTTTTTTCGTGCTTTCTGTGGTTTTTGTTTCATCTCCCTTTCTCTAGAATAGAAGGCCAGTTACTGTTTCAAGCGCTTCTTCGCTGCGGTGGTCTTGGAGCCACTTCCCACCCTGGCCAGTTGTCTCTGGACGTCTGGCCGTGGGTCAGTGTGGGGCTGTTAGATGTCACACAGGCAGGAGTCAGATGCGCTGCAAGGGTGGCGTTCCTTCTCCAGCCCCGGCCCTGTCCCAGGCCGGGCCTCGCCCAGTGAGGGCAGGGAGGGGACAAAGAGGGGCGGGGACACATGCAGGCGGTGGGGAGCTGTCGCTGCCCCCACAGCGCCCTGCGGACCGCTCGCTGGGCGCCGGACTGGACGCTGTGGCTGGAGGGGCCCCGGGCAGGGCCCAGTCTGCCTCCTGAGAGCCGGGTCTGGCGCGGCGCGGGGGCTCCGGGAGGCTCGGCGGAGTCAACGCTCCACACGAAGGCCACGTTGGACATCTCATGAGCAAACACGCACCTCCCCGCCCGTGAGCGGAGGGGCGGCCCTGTCTGTACGAGGCCCGGCGGGGCCGTCCGGTCCGGACCGGACCACGTGCTGAGCGCGAGGTGACCTAGCTGTGCGCACACTCCCTCCCCGCAGAACGAAGATCGAGAAGGAGAAGAGGGAGCACGCCAGGCTGCACGGCATGATCCGCACCGAGGTCAGCGGGGCCGAGATCGCCGAGGAGATGGAGAAGGAGCGGCGCCTCTTCCAGCTGCAGATGTGCGAGGTGAGGCCAGGCACGGCGCGGGCGGCATCGGGGCGGCCCGGCACGTGTCCCTGTGTGCGCGTCTCCGTGAGCACCGGGGCCCGACCTCCACCGGGGGCCTCAGAGAGCCCCAGGTGCATTGTGGGACTGCCCTCGTCTGGGTTCTCGAAGCGGGGAGGGGCGCTGTCACTGCCGTCCGGGGTGGGAACCCGCTGCCTGGGGCGGGGCCCTGCCTGCGTGGGCAGAAGCAGGTGGGCCCGCCGGGCAGCGCACTTGGAGCTCCCAGAGGAGGACGCGTGCGACGATGACCGCAGGTGTTGGCCACTCAGAGGGGCTGTGGGGGACTCCCCCTGGGGGAGGAAGGGCTCACGAGCAGGTCCCCGAGAACCCGGCCGCTGAGCCGAATGCAGAGCTGCGGTTACACTGCTCCGCCGTGGCCCCCGGCCAGCGGTCGCAAGCCTGGTGCATGCTGGGCCTCGGGTAGGCGTCCTGCCTCTCTGGCTGCCCGGGACCTGGCCCGGGAGAATGGCTCTCGTCTCGTGTCTCCAAGCCACGGACCCTTTCTCCCTCCGAAGGAGTTTTATGAAGACGTTTAGTGTGGGCGCCACCTCGGGCCTCTGTCAGTAGGAAAAGTGTGAGAGAGCCTGTCCTGCTGTCGTCTTCTTATGAAAACAGTGCATGCTTTTAAGTATCGGTCAATATAAATATACACGTGTGTGTGTCACGTAAATACATAAAAGACACTAAAATCCCCCCAGATTTTCCTTCCTGAAGGCAACCACTCTGGTATTCAGCTGACATTACTTGCCCGTCCCAGTGCGTGTCCATCTGGACACCGGTGTGGCCCGGCTGTCCTCTGCTGACGCCCTGTGACTCGAGGGCCGGCCCTCGGTGTGGGCGGGCGCCCGTCCACGTGGCAGGTTCTGCTGTGGCGGCTCAGCGGCCACGTGGCATTTCTCACTGCGGATGCACCGCACCTTCGTCCCCCGTTTTACACGCTGGGTGTGTCGCCATTTTCGCTCGTGCGCACGAATCTGCGGTGACGCTTCCTCCCCATTCATCCGGGTGAACTTTTCTGGTCGCCCTCTTAGAACGAGTTCCTGTCGACAGAATGTGTAGGTCAAAGGGTACACGCATTGTAAAGTTTGACACGTTGCCCGGGATCTTGTGAGCACGTGACCGTTCCGAGGCTCTGCCAGCAGCTAGTTCCAACAGCAGGGAGCAAACGTCAGAACGAAGGAGGGAGGAGAGGCCGTCCAGACCAGACGGAAGCCTGCAGCCGGCCGTCTCAGAGTGGCCGCCCGTCTGTGCCGGGTGCGGGGGCGGCAGGCCTGGGGGAGCACCTGACCACGAGTCTCCCGGGTCACAGCTGAGAAGCCCGTGTGGTCAGCCTGTGGGGCCACGCAGGCTTTTGGGGGGCATCCAGTCTCAGAGGTGACCGGTTCTCGGGGTCCTTCCTACCACACCCTGACAGCCCAGGGAGGGTGCATTTATGGAGCCTGTGTTCCAGAATCCTTCAGCAGAGAGCAGACGTGTTTCCGGAGGCTGGTTCTGTGGACCCCGGGGGCTTCCTCATGTCTTCGTGCTTGTTGATGAGTTCTCCACGTTAACGGTGGCTTTCGTCCCTTTTAGCTCAAGGCTTGGCTTTTGGAGCAGTCACGTTTTGTAGCCACGTATGGGGGTGGGGGCGTGCCTTAGGGTCAGAGCCTTGCGACCGGAGTCGTAACCACAGGGGATGAGCAGCGAGCGTCCCAGAGGAGGAGCACGCGGGCGGGAGCGGTCACGATGGCCGAGTCCTGTTCGTTCCGGTCCTCCTCATTCTTCCGTGGGGCGAGAGGCTCTTGGCGCGTCGTCGAGTGAAGCATTTAACTACCCGTGTGTCGGACCAGTCACGGGGCACCTTGCTCCAGGCGGCGTTTGGTTACGGCATTCGGGACCACGACGCCCGCCCACCCCGGACGGCGTCCGCAGGGGCTCCTGGGAAGCTCCCGTGTGCTTCCATCTGTGACCTGCCTTTTTTGTCATTTGTTCTTTTTTTTTTTTTTTTAACAGTATCTGCTGAAGGTCAATGAAATTAAGATAAAAAAGGGAGTGGATTTACTTCAGAATCTGATCAAGTACTTCCACGCCCAATGCAAGTAAGTTCTTTTTTTCTTTGTCACGAAGCTGTTTTAGCTCCTCCTGTCTCGCTGGCCCCTTCCGGCGGGCCTGCAGCGCGGGGGTGAGGGGTGGAAGCGCGGACACAGGCAACGGCCCCAGCTTGAAAACACATTAAGGAGAGGAAGCCGGATGAGAGGCCGCTCACTGGCCGTGCGGTTCCATCTGTGTGAAAGTTCAGGGCCGGGCAGGGCCGCTCCGTGGCTGCCACGGCTCGGGGGCAGCGGGGTTGGGGCGGCGGCGGATGGGAACGGGGTTCTGGGGAGCGAGGAAAATGCCCCGGAATCGGTGCTGGCGGTGGCAGGACCGTGTGGACATACTAAAGACCTCTGAGTGGCCCACTTAGAAGGCTGGCTTTTGGGGTCCGAGAGGAGCATCTCGATAAACAAACACTACAGACATCGACTGAGGTTATCACGTAGGTTGGTTTTTGCCCCTTTTGCAGAGGGGCAGTCTGGTGGGATCAGGGGCTTCTGTTAGAGGGGGAGCCGGGAGGTGTCGGTGCGGGGCCAGGCGCTGAGAGCCTATCTCGGGGATTACGTGTCTCGTAGAGCAGAGGGCAGCAGCAAGCACCGCATGCAGAGGACATGGGACGTGTCCTCGTTCAAGGGCGGCCTCCGGCCCTCCCCTCCCAGCCTCGCCGTCTCTCCCGCTCCCCGTCCCCCGGCTGCTGGTATAAACAGGCCCGGGTCCGTCCACTCTTGTCATGCAGTGTGTGCCGTGTGACGGGCACTGTCCTCGACGCTGGAGAGAAAATAACGTCCCCCCAGGCCTGGCTCCTGCTGGTGTCAAGGAGGAGGTCGGGCTAGAACAAACAGACTTACAATTGGACATTTAAAACCTGTTCCAGCCCTGGCCGGTGTGGCTCAGTGGGTTGAGTGCCAGCCTGCGAACTGAAAGGTCGCAGGTTCGATTCCCAGTTGGGGCGCATGCCTGGGTGCAGGCCAGGTCCTCATCTGGGGCTGCATGACAGACAGCCGACGTTTCTCTCTCTCTTTCTCTCTCCCTTCCCCCCTCTCTAAAGATAAATAAGTAAAATCTTGAATGAGACGTGTTCCGAAGTGCTGGACTCTGAGAAAGCACAAGGTGGAAGGGCTGGGTCGAGGTGAAGGTGGAGGGCGGGGGCTTCTCTTCTTGTCCCCGGTCCTGCCCCTCGCTGGGGCCGCCTCTCCCAGCAGCTGGTGCGCAGCACCGGGCGTGTCGGACGGGTTTGGTCGGAGGGTTCGGGCACTGCCGGCGCGAGCCGCGGCCTCTCTGAGGAGCCGTGCTCACGCCGAGGCCTGGAGGGTGAGCGGAGCCGGCAGGGAAGGAGCGGAGGAAGAACGTGGGCGCGTTGCCCCCTTTCCCAGAAGGTCGTTCCCTTCCCTCCGCGCCTTCCCCCAGCGTCGGTCCCCCCCAAGACCTTGCTCAGGTGCAGCGGCGGCTTTAGAGTCACTCTGCGCGTCCCCCGGTGCCATCACTCCTCCTCCTGCCTCTCCGTGGCGACGGCTTCCCTAGTGTGTGACGTCTCCCCTGCCCTGTGGAAGGGGAGCGGCCGTGGCATTGACTCTTTCTTTCCGCCGCACTCACGGCCCGTTTACCTGGAGCACGGTCGCCACGGTGACTCACACCGGTGACGCAGAGTGGGCTCCGCCACGGCATGCCGAGTCCCGCTTTGGTGACACGGCCTTTCCCAGGCAGCTGAGGTCACTCGGTCGAAAGGAGGAGGTGGAAAGGAGAGCCCCGCCGGGGGAACGGCCCCAGGGGATGGCAGGGACCTGCCAGTCTGTCCACTGCTCAGGGTGAGTTATTTACAGGGACTCAGGACCCCGCGTTTGCGATGAACACGCAGATGCCTTTTTTGGTTCTTATCCTTGTGACCTTATGTGAGGCGGTTTAGGAAGTGGGTCGCTTCCTCACTGATATTTTATTTTCAAGAAGCTATTCTTAGATTTCCTTTTTCTTCTTTATTTTGCCCAAACTGACCAGTTGGGTAGCAACAGCCCACTTGTGGAAAAGTGAACTAGTTGGCCTTTTATGGACATGAGCTCAGCAACCTTTGAAACTGATGCCTCATGTAGTGCTTCCTTGGAGGATGTATGTGCACGCGTGTGCATGGGTGTGCACGTGTGTGCACACACCACACACTCTTGAGATCCTGCCAAGAGGTTTGACTGTTTCAGTCCACACTTGGGGGACAGAATGTGGACCCCGAGTGACGCAGCCATCGGGCAAACGAGCCTGTGGCCGGGCCCTGTTTATGCATCTGGGGTTCCTTGGGGTCCCCCCCCCCCGCCGTCACCCCAGGAGTGCGGTTGTGCGTGTCCAGCGCTGTGCCCGTGGGCAGAGGTGGGGCCGCTGGCCCGTGCAGCTGTGGCGGCGAGGCCTTCTGGGGGCGCCAGGCGCTGGGAGCCGTGGTCCATGGTCGCCCTTCCGACTACGAGGGAGGCACTGTTTTGCTTTTGACTTGAAGCATTCTTGAGGAGTCCTTCGTGTTCTTTGTCTCTCATTTCACGTAAGGAAAGAATTCGCATCTCCACCAGTTCCCGGGCCCTCCTCTCCAGTGGGATCTAGAAACAAAGCTCTCTTTAAAACAACAACAACGAACCACCCCCCGCCGACGGTCGTGTTCTAAGAGGTGGCCGCGGTGTTGAAGGGACTTGTTCTTTGGCGAGACCCTGCTGAGCCCCACTGTGACCGGCCGCTGCTGGGGGGACTGGGGATGCAGCCCTGGCTGGCTCGCAGGCCCGGGGCCCGGGGGGGCTGGGGCCGGGGGCAGGGGGTGCGGGGCACAGAACGCAGACAGGTCACCGCCCCGAGAGCAGCGTGCCGTCACCGGGCCACCCTGCTCGCAGGGGCCTTGAAGACTGAGGCTAAGTGAGTACATTCTGAGGCACAGGTGGCCCACACGAGGTCCACAGAGCAAATCCGCCCTCCACCTTGTCTTGTCTGGCTCAGCGCCACCCAGCAGCAGTGCCCCCGCACCCCCCCGCACCTGCCCTACAGCCGGGGCCGAGTCACTCTGCAGGTACACGGAGGCACTGCCACGTGTCCCGCGGTGCTGGGGTTTGGGGGGTGGGGTCTGCAGGAAGCTGCGGCTTCTAAACTCAGACGGAGGGGCTTTTCCGGGTGGACAGTCCGGCCGGGCATGGTGGTGACGGAGGGGAAATCCCAGCCTCACACCCAGACCTGGGGTGGTGTCTCCAGCACACTGTCCGCCGTCACAGCGGCCCCAACGTCTGTGAGGAGACACACCTCTCTGGGCTCCGGGCTCCGCGGCAGGGCAGGGCTCTCTGGCCGTGGGGACGATGGCCAGCACAGAGACGCTTGGAGCTGGGCAGCTGCCCCTGTGTCTAGCCCACTGTCTGTGCAGAAAAGCCTGTCTGGCCTCCGCTGTATTTCGGGAGTCACTTCATTATAACAGAGGACTGCACGAGCCTTGGGCTCCGAGTTAAAAGAAAAGAAGGAAGAAAGAGGTTCCTCTGGGTGCCCAGTCTCAGGTTCTCGGCCACGCTTCCAGACTCCACAGACGGGGCTTCGGGCGCGGCGGGCTCGCCCCGTTTTTCCCGCGTCCTTTCCCCGTCCCACTCGGCTGTCACCTGTCGAGGAAGGTCTCTGGGGTCTCGGTCTTGTCCGCACCCCCTGCTTTGGGGGCCTCCGAGTCCCCGGCCCTGAGCCAGGGCCTTCGCTGCCCTTGTCGCTGGAGTCCTCTTTCCTGTTACAAATGGGAAACTTGGGGCTCGCGGTCACGGGCCGGGAACAACCACCGGTCTTGCGGCTCCTTGCTCTTCCTTCTCACGCACGTCTCCTGGTTTCGAGAGTTTTGATTCTAGTAATAGTTCCGGGTTCGGTTCATCCAGTCTTGTCCCCCAGGAGTGACGTAATGATCTCAGTCCCTTCCTTTCAAAACAGTCGCGTCTCTCCATCCGCCACAACGAAACCCTTGTCTCTCCTCCGAAGCGTGACCCGTGGTGCCTCTCTTTCCCCCCTAGTTTCTTCCAGGATGGGCTGAAAGCCGTCGAAAACCTCAAGCCTTCCATCGAAACGCTTTCGACGGATCTTCACACCGTGAGTAGCTTCCCCGCCACACCTGTGTCGAAGCAGCTCTGTCGTCACCGCCACTCATGTGTCCATCGCCATTCATGTTCCCCACGCGCAACAGTGTTTATGCCACTCACGCGTTCACGCCGTTGTGGCTTCTGTGTAATCGGGTGCTTGCTGCCGGGCGGCCCGTCAGCTGACAGCCCGGTAGGGCCCCTCGGGGTCCGGGGCCCGGGGTCCCTGCTCCTGTCCTGCGTCTCGGCCAGACGGGGGGCAGGGTTGGTCTAGCGAGGGGCAGGCGTCCCATTGGCCTGGGAACGGCCGGTGACCTCCGGCCTGCCTCTCTGCTTGCATCTCGCCTCGGAAGATCAAACAGGCCCAGGACGAGGAGCGCAGGCAGCTGGTGCAGCTCCGGGACATTCTGAAGTCGGCGCTGCAGGTGGAGCAGAAGGAGGTGAGTGGGTCTGATGGCGAGCGGCGCTGTCTGGCCCTTTGTCCGGAGGCTCTGGGACTGAGGAGGGTGACCTCCCTGCCTGCCGGGGGCTCCCGGTTCCTGCTGGGGCTTCCCCGAGCCGCACGGAGACAGGCGTTCAGGCTGTTCTTGGAGGGTGGTTTTAGAGAACCGTCCGTGTAAGCGTGTTTCACGCGGAGGCACTCACGGCGGGGCGGGCCCGGCCTCCACGGCACTGAGTCACCCTTTCGGCTCCGCCAGTCCCTACACGGGGCGCTCCTAGCCTCCCCACCAGACAGACGCGCTTCAGTGACGTCACTGGTTTCCCCCGAACTCTGCCTGGTAGACGTGGGCGCTGCCCACGTGGGCATCAGCAGGGAAGGGCGGCCCCTGCGCCTCCCACCCCTGCGGTCGTGTTCCGCGGAGCACGAGCAGCTGGATTCTCTGGCCACCGCGTCCTCGTGGGCAGAAAACCTGGTTCTCCCGCCACGCCTTTCAGAGCACCGCTCCTCTGCGTGCTTCCGCACTCGCAGTGATACTTTGTGCTTTAAAAAGTAAACGTCTGCCCTAATGCTAGGATACGCTTGCTACCATGTGGACATTATAACGCGATATTTAACAGAAGTCCACTTCCTTGTCAATAAAGCAGCGTGTCTAAACGTATCACTTGTGGACGTTCGATAGATAAATAACCCTCTTCAAGCTGCATGGCAGAGCACCAGGTTGGCTGTCGGTAACGCGGTGTGCTCTGTTGTGTCCTGAGTTCCTGTACTGTGACTGAATATTGTTGTTTCTCTCCCAAATGCACTTACCTTTTGTGACCGAAGTCTAGGAGAGTAAGTAGTTCAGTCTTTTAATAAATTGGAGAATTTTTGCATGCTTTCTTCATGAACTTCAAAAAAATGCTTTCTTCCATGTATATATTAACGACTGGAGCATTTTTAATGTAGTCCCTTCTCCCTCAGTAGCCGCGGGTTCTGTTAAAGGCTGACGCATGTGAATGCACAAACGCTAGAGAGGTGGACACGTCCCACGTTTGCCGCTGGCCCACTTGCTGTTGTTCTTTGTGGAAATGCGGCCGCCCCCGCCCCCGCCCTGAACTGCCCAGCTGATCTCGACTGGTGCCTCTGGCCCACCTTAAGCCGGTCTCTGCACGCTGCCCCCGCTCCCCCGCCCCCGTGGTCTGAGTTCCTAGGGCACATCCTGTCCCAAAGGCTTGGCTGTGTCCTCCACTGCACAGATGCCATTTCTCCAGCGGCACCTGGGGCAGCTGGAGGGTGCCTTCCGGCCTTCAGGGGTGGGCCCGGGTGGCTCTCGGAGCAGGCTCTTGGTGAACGGGGGTCGGCCAAACCAGAGATTGGCAGGCTGAGGGTCCGTGTTAGTGCCGGCCATGACCCACAGCCTGCTGACTTCCTCCCGGTCCAGAGAACACACATCCTGATGTTTCGATGTTCCCAGACTGGGAGGAGAAGCAGAAGAAGAAACAGAAAAGAACTTGGGGGTGTGGAGAGAATAGCGGCTTAGCTGCCCCTAGAAGATGGGGCGCCAGGTGTGGGAGCCGGCCCCTTGAGGCGGCCACCGTCCAGTGTGTCCGAGTCCAGTGTGTCGCTGGGATGGTACGCAGTGCTTCTGTCCCGGAGGGAGGGCCACGCCTGGGAAACAGAGCTCCGTCCGCCGTGAAACGGAGGCGAGTGGGTGCTGGGACCCAGGAGCTCTGGGCGCCGTGCCGTGCGTGGGCCATGTGTGCTCTGGCTGCAGAGTGAGGGGGTTCGGGAAGCGCTTCCGTCAGAGAGCCGGGTTTCCAGCTTTGCGGAGAAGTCACACAAGTTCGCCAGCCCAGACTAGACGTCGTTACAGTTTGTTACTCTGTGTGTTTTGTTGGTCGGGCCGTCTGCCCAGACGGCGCACGGGGGTCAAGTGGCGCCTCTCTCCTGCTCCCACTTTCGCTTGCATTGTGCTCGCAGACCGAACTCCCCAGTCTCCCGGTTGGGGACATGTGGAAAGACACGCAGACCGTCTGGTTCATCTCACGCTGCGTCGCGCTTCGAGGATGACCGCCCGTGTGTTGTGGACCCAGCTGCCAGTGGTCACCCCATGTGTACAAGTTAAACCTTCCACACTTTAAAATAGTTTCTGCCATCGGGGTTCCGTCGTGTGCTCCTCCAGTGACACCGAGAACTGACATTTGGGGCGCCGTGGTTTAGGGCTTCGTGTCCCCCCTTTTGGATTCTCTTCTGTGGCCTGGGGAACTGAAGGCGTTGGTGTTGGCGGTTGTCATTCGGTGTCACAAAAATCCTGACTACATAATTACGGTTCATAAAACTTGGGGATGCGCCCCGAGGAGGCTGCGTGCATGGTTGGTAGGTGGGGGCCATCCCTCCCCCCCGTTCCTGCCCGGAGATGTCCAAGAGCGATCGTCTGGCCAGAGCTAGGACGCGGCTGTCCCCTCTGCTGGCTTCGGGCCGCTTCTCCTTGTCACCCTGTGGCTGCCCTCGGGGAGGGACACTTGGCCCATGTGGGTCCCGGTGCCCCTTGCGCCTCCGCGTCACAGACGATTGTGTTTTGTTTCTGATGTTTCTGCTGGCGGTAAAGAGGATGCTGCAGTCTGAGGTCTCCGAGATTTCACTATGGACATTCTCCGACCGAGCAGGGAGTGGACTGCCTACGGCTGGAGCATTGGGGCAGGTCCCGTTTTCAGAGCCGAAACCTTGGCACGCGGCGGGTTTTGTGCTCCGTCTCCCCACCCACCTGGCCCTCCGCCGCCGGGATCCAAGCAGCGCCTGGTCTGAGGAGTGAAACAGTCATTTCTTCCTCAGCTTCCAGCCGAGGGGCCGACTCTGCCGGCACGAGGTGCCTGGGAGAGCGCTGACTACGGTGCCTGACGGTGGGGGGGGAGGGCCCGGAGCCCTTGCCGGCGCCGGCCTTCTCCCTCCCCGAGCGGCACACGCGGTGCCTGGTCGTGCGGTTCGGCCTGTGGCAGGCGTGTGCTCAGCCCTTCACGGAGGCGGATAGGTGGGGGGTGTTTCTCCCTCTCCCCTCCACCACACTCACCCTCCTGACGTCTAAAGCTGGGTCCGCCCCACATTTCCGGTGCGAGTCTCCCGCCCTTCTGAGAGGCGGGGGCACGGGGCCTCCGCGGTGTGAGCTGTCTTTCTCCGTTGTCTGGAGGCGCAAGTGCCGTGGGAGCTCCCCACAGAAAACGAGGACCTTTCTCCTGTTTTGGGGGTCTGTTCAGGCTTCGTTGTCTGTTCAGGGATGGAGCGCCTGAGCACACTATTGATTTCTCGGATGAAGATTTTTTTGTTTGTTTTCTTTGTGCAGTTATCCCGTATAGATATTTCAGAGTTTTTTAAAAAAAAAAGTCAGCACTAGACCTCCCGTGTTTCTGGGAGACAGCATCTTGAAGATGTCAGTGTTCTTCCGGGCGGTCTGCACGTTGAAGGCAGTTCCCACCAGAACCCCAGCCGCCTTTGCTGGAATCCACAGGCTGGTTTTAACATCCACTGCAGATGCAAGGGGCCCCGAGTGGCCAGAACAGCCCCGGCAGAGAGGAACGTGGGTGCAGGGCCGCTCACGCTTGCTGATTTCAGAGCAGTGTTGACGTCGCTGGCTCAGAGCTCCGATCCTCCGGGCGGCGTGGGGCCGGCCCAGGACAGACGGCGGGCAGCGGGGCACGTTGAGAGTCCAGGAATAAACCCTCCCATTCGTGGTCGACTGATTTGCAACAAGGGAGCCAAGACAGTTCAGTGAGGAAAGAACAGTGTTCCCTCCCTCCCTCCTTTCCTTCCTTCCCTCCTCCCTTTCCTTTCTTTCTCCTTCTTTCTCTGTCTCTCTCTCTCTCCAAGATTTTATTTATTGTTAGGGAAAGGGAGGGGGAAGAGAGGGAGAGAAACATCAATGTGCAAGAGATAGATCAATCGGTTGCCTCTCACACACCCTCAACTGGGGACCCGGCCCGCAACCCAGGCCTGTGCTCTGACTGGGAATTGAACCTGTGACCCTTTGGTTGGCAGGCCAGCATTCAATCCACTGAGCCACACCAGCCAGGGAAAGAACAGTGTTTTCAATCGAGGGTGCCGGGACAAGTGGACAGCCACAGCCAAAGAATGAATTTGGACCCCTATCCCACACCATTGTCAAAAACTAAAGTAGGCCAAAGACCCACGTGTAAGAGCTAAAACTATAAAACACTTAGAGAAAGTGTATGTACAAATCTCCGTGACCTTGGACTAGGCAATGATTTCTCACATGTGACGTATAAACTACAAACAATAAGAGAAACAGTAAGTAAATTGGACGTCATCAAAATTAAACACTTTCATGCTTCAAATACCTTTCTGAAAACTGCCAGGGATCCAGGTGGCCGTGACCCCGACTCAAGCCTGCCTGTCCCTTGTGCCAGTGGCCACTTGATCCAGGCTGCACAGATTAGCTGTGTCCTCGATTCCCTGGAGGGCGGTCACAGCTGCCATTTCCTCCCCAAGCCCCCAAGTGCGTCCCCCTGCTGTGCGTGCCGTCCCCCCATTCTCTGGGACCCTCGCTTCCATTGTGAAAGCCCCCTCGCCCACTTCCCCCGCCCCCCCCCCCAGGCTTCCCCGTGGGCTCCTCTTGAGCCTGTGGCCTGCTCAGCTCCAATCATGTGGATTGTCGGGTATCCCCCAAGGGCAGTCATGGGCTTGGTGGTGGAGGTGAGACCGGCCCTCGACTTTCGGGGTGCCCCTTGCGAGGGCATGGGGGCTAAGGGAGGGAAGGTCGGTGGGGGAGGCGGGATTCCCTTCCACGCTCCGCTCGGGCTCCGGCAGGCTCTGCGTTGCGAGCAGGTCGCTGGTTGTCATAGTGTTTCTGTTTCTTCCCTGACGAAGTGAACCGGATGTGAGGCGGGGGAGGTTCCCAACAGCAGGTGGAGGCAGACCTGCCCCCCCCGGTTCACCTGTGAACTCACATGCATGTTTTACACGCCCACCCCACCCCACCCCCGTCTCCTCCATGTCTGCAGAATTCCCAGCGCCCTCCCCACTCTCCTCCGCTCAGGACTCGCGCTGCCGTCTGTCAGCGCAGTGGAGCGCCTGCTGGGCGCCCGGGGTTTCACTGGCTGGCCTTGCCCTCGAGGGGCTGGAGGCCGGAGCTCCCCAGCCGTCCGAGTGGACGGCACATCCTGAGCGGGCCCCAGGCGGTTCGGTTCAGGGTCATGGCCCCTGTCCTGGGATGGGCAGGGTCAGGAAGCGACTGTGTTCAATACCTGCCCTGGACCAGGTGTTCGCACCTGTCCCCTAACTCAGACCTCACCGTAGCTGCCTTCCTTACTGGGTATTGTTTTCCAAGCAGGAAACAGGCAGGGGGCTACAGCATCTTGCCTAACGTGAGAGGCAGGACGTTGGCTTTTTGTTTGATTCTGTTTTGGGTTTTGTTTGTTTGCTTGTGTTGCTGGACGGGGCTGCATTTGCTCTGCCGGGAGCTTCTTGCCATCACCAGGGACCTGAGGCCCATAGCTCCGTGAAACCTCGTAACTCCCAACGCCTCCCTCCGGGCCGGCGTGGGGACCCTGTCTTTGACCTCTCCTTCCCCAGCCTGGCGGGTGGCATTTAGGAGTCCTGGGGTATGGAATCGGTGCCCCTTTTCGGCGTGGCGAGGAGGGGAAGTTTCTCCCATTTAAAAAGGCCGTTCTTGGGGCACCCGTTCCCCGTGTGCACCGCTCAGTGACTGACGGGCGTCTGCACGGGCCGAGCCCCACACTCCGCCGTCTTCCAGGACGCGCAGCTCCGCCAGAGCGCCGCCTACAGCCTGCACCAGCCCCAGGGGAACAAGGAGCACGGCACGGAGCGCAGCGGCAGCCTCTACAAGAAGAGCGACGGGTACGTGGGGGCGTGGCCGGCGTCGACGTGTGCGTGTCCGCCTCCGCGTGCGTCTGCGTCGGGATTTCTAAACTCTCATGGTTTTTTTTCCCCCCACGTTGATCTCAGGATCCGGAAGGTGTGGCAGAAAAGGAAGTGTTCGGTGAAAAACGGCTTCCTGACCATATCGCACGGAACCGTGAGTACCCCCGCTGAACTCCCGGGCTCCGCAGCAGCCAGACGAGGGTGGAGCTCCGGGATGAGCGAGCGAGCAAGAGCGAGCGCCGCGGGGGTGGGCAGGGATGCGCTCTAAAGCCACTCCCTGCGGAGAAGAGCTTGCACGGCGGGCTCTGGCGGGGGGGGGGGGGGGGGGGGCGCCCTGCACCGGTCCCTGCGTTTCCGGCCAGGCAGGGCCACGCTCGCCTCCACGCCCAGCAGCCAGGAAGAGCCCGCGGGCTGCGTGTTCTCCGCGTTCGGAGCCTGCGGCTTCGGAAACACGCAGGGAGCCCGCCCGCTGCTCCCCAGCCGTCGCGGTCGGGAAAGGGACCGTCGCGCTCGGGGCTGCGTCTCCTCTTCCGTTCGGGGAAAGGCGCCTTCGCGGTCAGGACGCTGGGAATCAGAGCCCCAGGGGAGAGCCGTCTCGGTGCTTGTATCACAGACACCGAAGGCCCGGCGCCCGGCCCGCACCCAGTCCCTTGTCGTCCGTCGTCCTGCGTCCTGCGTGCGGGAAGCCGAGCCCTGGGCGTCCACCCCGTAAAAACCCCTCCGAGCACAAGGGCAGCCGGTCTCACTCTGGGAGACCAGGGACTGTGACCACAGCCACGGCACAGCCCTTCCCTGCAGCGGCTTCGGGCACATGGTCGCCTTCCCCCGTGTGGCGGGGCCAGTGACCCCCATGTAGCGGGGCCGGTGACCCCCGTGTAGGCCGGTGACCCCTGTGTAGGCCGGTGCGCGTTTCTGAAAGTGTCTGGAGGCAGAGTCGGCTGCTGTCTTGTTGCTGATGAGAATACTGGTGACCGTGGCACTGCAGGTCCCCAGGCAGGAGGCCAGGAAGTGGGTGGTAGTGGAGACACGCCTGGGGCTACCACCCTCCTCCCCTCCCCTCCCCCCCGCCCCTCCCGCGTTCCCCAGGTCCCCCGAGAAAGGCCGAGCAGGGCTGAGTGCAGTCCAGGCTCGGCAGGCTTTAGAGAGGACCCGCGGCTGGGAGCCCTTCCAGCGAGCGCTTCGGAGCGTGGAGGGTGACCCTGCGGCAGCGCTCGTGTTCCCTTGGGGACCCTTCGTTGTCACCAAGTCCGCTCTGGGCAGAAACACAGTAGCACGCGCATCCGTCAACTGTCATCTGCAGAGAACCCTCGGCCCAGCGGAGCAACCCTGTCTCCCCCTCATTTCTCTTTTCCGAAGTCCCGCCTCGCCGGCCTCACCGAGGCCCCCACCTCCCCCGGGGCTGCGCCGTGTGGGCCCTGGTGCAGCGCGTTTCCATGGAGACGCAGGTCTGAGTGTGTCGGCCACGGGGAGCCCGTTCTTTCCATCACAGCTCTCTGTGGGCGGGTGACAGCCGGGTCCCTTCCCGCTCTGAACACCCAGGACTCCGTACGGGGTCGCTGGCCCCGTGGGGGCGACTTCCCAAAAGAAGACGGGGTTTCATCTCAGGCCTGTCAGCAGCTCTGCAGTCATTCACTCGGTGGCTTTGCTCTGCAGTCATTCATTTGGTGGCTTTGCTTCATGAACATGCCCTGCTAGACCCAGGGCTCTGCTGAGGCCAAAGAGAAATGGAAGTGGGCCCGGGGTCCCCTGCCGATGGCAGACACGTTGAGTCCTCCTGCTGCTCCGGCAGCTGCTCAGGCCGACACTGGGGGCTCGGTTTTCCCTCAGGGTTGAGGGGCCGCCCCAGGGTGGGGCTTCCCTGGCCGCGGACAGCTCAGCGGGTCACAGGCCTTGCATATTTCCTGAGTGCTTTGTGTCTGGGGGAGGGGGGACCCTGCTCAGGGAATCCCCGCTGTCTGGGTGCCACCTCCTGCCTCCCAGCTTGGGCCGGGAGTAGCTGGCACTGGGACAGCAGGGTGGTGGGGGACCGTGCCCTGCCTGGTGCCCCTCCCTCCTGTGCAGGGCTCTCCTCCTGCTCCTCCCTCCCTGCATGCAGCTCTCGCTCCAGAAGGCGGAGGGCCCCGGCACCCCGTGTGCGGCCACAGCGCAGGGCTTTACATGTGGCGACCTGCCTTAGCCTCAGCCGAGAGCCAGAGGGAGGGGTGCCCCCTTGCTCAGTCTGTGTGGGTTTGGCCACACAGCTGCCTGCAGAGGCAGCGGCTGCCTGACTTTGCCGATTTACCATGCGGGGGGAGCGATTTCTCAAAGACTCAGCTGCGGAACTAGGGGTCCGGGCGCAGGGTCTGGCCCTCGGCCGCGAGTCGGGGCTGGATGTCGAGGAAATAGGCACGTCTGCACCGTCAGGAAAACCGGCTGCTTCCCGGGAAGCTGGCAGCCTTCGGGAGATGGCATCATCGTGCCCCGTGCTCCGGCCGGATCGGTGAGGACGTCCCAAAGGAACTTGGTGACGTGCCGCCCTGCTGTTCCCGTTAGCCCAGGCTACCTGGGCTCTGTCCCTGGGAAGGAGGGGTCTCGTCAGGTGTCGCCTTCGCCAAGTTCACAGCATTGCCACACAGGCCGACTGGGGACCCTGTTAAACTGGAGGAAGTGTTTCCCGTTCTTCCATGATTTAAAAACATTTAAAGTGATCATCAGCCACGCAGAAGGAAGACGGCAGACTTTCAAAGGCCCGGTGGGTCGGGGAAACCCAGAACAGTGGGACGGAAACGTGACTCCACCCCCGTCCTCGCCCCACGGTGGACCGGCTCCCGAGGACACTGGTCCCTGATGCGTCACTCACACCTGTGCTGCGGCTGACGTCAATGACGACACCATTTTCCATGTTCACCGAAGGACACCGACCTCCCTCCCATACTGTCCCCGTGTCTGAGACCCCGTGGACGCCCGTGGTCTGCAAGCGGGCCCAGCAGGCCCCCTGGACGCGCACGTGCAGTGGTGTGGTCGCTCGCAGCTGCAGACCCAGTTCTGCCCACCCCGTCTGTCACTGGGCATGCTGGTTCCCGGACGAGCCAGGCAGTTCTGTGGGTCAAGACCCAAAAGTGGGTTGCCAGCGCTGTCCCTGGGTGGGGTCCAGGTTCATGAGGTTAGGTGGAGGTCGGAGGCCGCACACGCTGGTTTCTGGGGCCCCAGGGACTCGGGTAGGTGTCTGAAGCCCACAGACAGCAGCCACGGCATTCCGTCTACGAGACGAGGTCACGAAGCCACGAACCAGTAGAGTCCAACACGATCCTGTGTGCCCCGCGTCTGCCCGCCCGAACTGGCTTTATCAGACCCAGACCATTCCTACGCAGGGTCCGACCCGCTCCACAGGGGCCCCGACCCCACACTGACGCTGGGAGGGTCCTGTGGGGAGGGGTCCGTCCCCATGTCCACACGTGCACGGATCTCCAAGTCTCGACGTGTCTGTGGCCACCGGGAGGGGTGACAGGGATCGAAGGCCGGGGCGTTTTCTGTGACCTTTCCCTTGGCGGCCTGGTGGGTGGGGAGGGCGAGCCCGGCCACGTCTGGAGATTTCTCAGGCATTTCTGAGAGGCACTTTGCCATTCGGAAATTTTCTTTGGAATTATCTTCTTACCCTCCATCTTTTCTTCTTTGGGCGACATAGGGTGGTTTTTGAAATTATAATAGCCATTTTGACACATTTCAGGTGAACGTACATTGTGATCTCTTGCTCCTCTAGTGTGTCTAGGGGTGGGCCGGGGGTTGTCGTAGGTGAGTGAGGTTGGTTTTGCTGAAACGTGACAGATGGTTGGCACTTGGGTTATTTGTCGTCACTTCAGGAAACAGGAAAGATTGTTTCTCTGTTGTTTTTGTGCTTTTCCCGGAACTGAGTGTTTACACTCTGAAAAGTACTTTGGGAGATTTTCCGAGGATTCTGCAACCGGGGGCTCAGGTCGCCCTGCCAGCCGCCCGTGTGTAAGTAGGAATCGGGACCGGAGGCGTCGGGCTTTAGCCGTGGAGCCCCTGGGTCCCAGGGAGGCCACCGCCAGTGACCTCAGAGCCAGCACCGCTTGTCCCCTGTCTGGCCGGGCGTGGGGGCCGCTGCGTGTCCCTCACGGGCAGGGCCCCTGTCCCTTGTGGGGCTGAGCTCCCAGGACGCGCCATGACGCGCCCGTCTCGGGTTTCTGTGCGCACCCCGCCGTCGGAAAGCTGTCTTTGCAGACCTGGGCCAGCCGTCCTCGCGGCCTTTCCGTGAGGAGCGGCGTGCTGCGGTTTCCGCCCCTCCCCACCGTGTCCGTCTGTCCGGTCTTATTTTCGCACAGGCGAACCGGCCTCCCGCGAAGCTCAACCTGCTGACGTGCCAAGTGAAGACCAACCCCGAGGAGAAGAAGTGCTTCGACCTCATTTCACGTGAGTGTCCCCAAGGGCGTCGGCCCCTCCCACGCGGTGCGTTTTAAAGAATCGGCTTCGGAAGGAAAGGCCTGGATTGCAGGGGAGGTCTGTGCTTGCTCTTTCCCCTTGGCCTTGCCGGCCTTGGAGGCCGGCCATGCGTGCCCTGTGGCCCCGTGAGCCTAGAGATGTTGTCTCGGCCCCCAGCCTCAGTCGTGCTGTTTGTGAACGAGGGGATTGTTCTAGATCAGCCCGAGAGCCGAGAATCCCTCACTCACTCCTTTACAAAAGAGGACGTTTCTGTGGTCCGGGCTCCTGTGATCCGCGTGATGTTGGAGACGGGCGAAGCCGGACCCAGAGCAAGTTGGTGGCCTTCTTGGCCGGTCGGAGCCAGAGGCTCGGGCAGAGAAGCAGCCCACCCTGGCCACTGTCCCGTCGGGGGGGCTCTGACCGGCTTGCCCCTCTCCTTGCGGTTTGCTCCTCCCTCTCGTTAAAGCCGCTAGGACGGGTCCTTGGTTCCCGGCAACTGGAGGGAGTGACTGAGGATGCTCTTCCTCCTTCTTTCTTTTTAAACTTGATGTTCTTTTTGGCCTCGCTTTGGGCGGACTGCAGCCCGAGGATGTCTGTCCGTCCCTGACCAGGCCCCTCGCGCTGGCATCTCAGTGGGGCTGTCCAGCGGTCGATGGCGCGTGTCGTCCAGCCCGTGGACAGCCGTCGGCCCCAGCACTCGGGGGTCGTGCGCTGCTGTGGCCGGGAGTCTCACTCCGACTCGGCGGTGCTCCCACGGGGGGCCCCTTCCCGGTCCAGGGTCCCCCGGGGCAGCCGTTCTTCCTTCTTCGTCTCCTAAGTCTGTGGCTGTTCCACAGTCTGTCCTTGACTTCCAGAACCCCGGTGCTTGCTTGGGAGAGTATTGATGAGTGTCCCGTCACATGCCCCTCGGTTCGGGTCTCCGAGGCTTTCCCAGGATGGGACTGAGGGTCTGCATTTGGGGCGGGGCCGGCACACTAGGCATCCCACCCCCTCTCCTGCACACGGGCTCGGCTGTCAGCGGAGCCCTCGTCGGTGTGGCTGGGGCCCCCCGTGCACACGCGTGAGATTCTCCACCGTCGTCACGGCGCAGTCCCTCTCGCTTCCGCTGTGTTGGTGACACCGCACTCCCATAGCATGTTGTGGTCACACTTTCCCATAATCGTCTTTTTTTTCCTTTATAGCTTATTTTAAGATATTACTTACTTATTCTTAGAGAAAGGGGAAGGGAGGGAGAAAGAAAGGGAGACACATCAACGTGTGGTTGTTGCCGCTGGTGTGCCCCCTGCTGGTGACCTGGCCCGCAACCCAGGCAAGTGCCTTGAGTGGGAATCGAACCAGCAACCCTTTGGTTTGCACTCAATCCACTGAGCCACACCAGCCAGGGCACCATAATAATCTTTTTAAAGAAGGGCAGGTGATGCCTGAGACACTCGCTTTAGAAAAAGCTTTACCTTTTCAAAGGGCCTCGGCCATTACTTTGGGGCTAAGTCTGTGGCGAGTTCAGGGAAACCAGAGCTCTTGGAAGGCTGGCGATGGTTTTGATGGAGTAGCCTCTGGCCTTGGAAGCTGCGTCACTTCAGACTCGAATGGGGGCCAGGAGGTTCGTCCCCTTGGCTTGCAGAGCCGCGGTGACCGGGCCAGGGCGGGCGAACGGTGCCCTTGCGGTGCCCTTGAGGTGCCGAGTTCCGAGGACCTCCATGGGGAGCTGTGGGGCCCTGTCGGAGCCTGCACTCACAGAACTCCTCTTGCCGCGCAGATGACCGGACGTACCACTTCCAAGCTGAGGACGAGCAGGAGTGCCAGGTGTAAGTGCCGCCCGGGAGGGTTTGCCGGGGCCGCCCGCCCGCCCGGCCGCCCCCCTGCCAGGCCGCTCACGGCCCCTCCGCCGCCCCCTGCAGGTGGATGTCGGTGCTGCAGAACAGCAAGGAGGAGGCCCTGAACAACGCCTTCAAGGGGGACGACAGCACCGGGGAGAACAACATCGTCCAGGAGCTGACGAAGGAGATCATCTCCGAGGTCCAGCGGATGACGGGCAACGACGTGTGCTGTGACTGCGGGGCGCCAGGTGAGCCGGGCCCCCCCGGCCCGGTCCGCGAGCCCAGGCTCTGGGTCTCCCTCCGGTTCCGGCAGCAGCCCTGGGCGGCCGGGTCCCGCTCGCTGGGCTGGGAGCCGGCACACCGGGTGGGGTGGGCACGGACATTTGCCCCCCGGGGTCTCAGGACGGGATCGTGTGGACCGGGGCCTGGTGGCGCTGGAAAGATGTCACGCTCTTGGAGAGAAGAAAACGGGGCCGGGGGGATGGGGGCGGGGAGACCCAGGTCTGCGGCTGGGGCGCTGGCTGCGGGGGCTTCTCCGGGGCTCACCCCGGAGAAGCCCGCACTGGGGCGTCCGCAGTGACTAAGCCACCACTGGGGAGATCCCGGCCTTGCTCTCGGGAAAAGGAGGGAACTGTCCGGAAGGTCTGCGGGCCCCTCCCCGCCGTCCGCAGTCTGTGCAGTGGGGGGGGGGGGGTGTTTGTGTGGAGCCCTGGAGGGGCTGCGTCTCCAGTGGGCCGAGCGGGTCACTGTCGACTCGAACCGCTCGTGTTTTACAAGTGTGCGGAGTGGACTGACTTCTCGACTAGAGATGGGGCCGTGGGGCTGCCGGGGCCTGTGGGGCTGCCGGGGCCTGTGGGGCAGCCTTCTCTGAGCATCCAGAGTGGGAGAGACCGTGGCCTGGCTGGCGTGGCCCGCTGCCTTTTTTCCATTCCGACTCTATGACGACGTTTATAAACATCCAACAGCCAAAATAGAGTGGAGAGTTGAGAAATGCCATGAGGTTCCTGTTCCCCTGAGGCTGGATTTGGGGATAATTTGAGGAATGACCTCATGGGGTGTTGGACCCACTTAAATATATCTTCTCGGAGGATCTGTGAAGACCTCTTTGGATCTTATCTTTAAGGGAGTGGTTAGTAGTGACAGGTGCTTTTCCTTAAGAGGAGATAAGGCTCGTGCTCGGGCTTTGAAGCCCTAGCCCAGAGGAGCCCCAGCTGCGTGCACTTTTGTTCTAAAAAGCCGAGACAGCGCGGTGAGGCGCACCCCGGCGGAAAGCAGCCGCACGTGCGGGAGGGTGTTCCGCCCCCTGCCCCCCGCCGACCGCGCGCCCCACACGCTCTCCACTCTCCCCCGCAGGCCCCACGTGGCTCTCCACCAACCTGGGCGTCCTGACCTGCATCGAGTGCTCCGGGATCCACCGGGAGCTGGGCGTGCACTACTCCAGGATGCAGTCCCTGACCTTGGACGTGCTCGGGACGTCCGAGCTGCTGGTAACGTCGGCCTCCTCGGCCGTGGGGCGGGGACAGCCTGCGCCGGAAGCTGACTGTGTGTCTCGGGTTGGCCGTGGGGACCCACGTGGGCCTCTTGAAATGCCCCTGGGCCGGTGGCCGTGGGTGTTGGCCGCATGGGTGTGAGCGATTGGGACTTCAGTTTTAAATGAATGAAGCGAAGTGGGACTCACACGGGAGCGTGGAGCCCTGGCTGGTGTGGCACAGGAAGTGGGAGCGTCATCCTGGAACCAAAGTGTTGTGGGTTCGATTCCCCGTCAGGGCATGTGCCTCAGTTGCAGGTTTGATTCCCGGTGCAGGCACCTACGGAAAGCAGCCAATCAGTGATTCTCTTCCTCTCTTCCTAAAAGCAATGAAAGAAAAAAATGTCCTCGGTGGAGGGCTTAAAAAAATAAGTGTTGAGACTGGTATAAGATTCCAGAATTAGGACGGGCATTTTGCCTAGGCCACCCCGTTCGGGGGACAGACACAGAGCCCAAGTCCCTGACCGCGGGGACTTGAGTCATCGGCCAGCCCCGGCCAAGTCTGCGGTCACCGCCTGGCTCAGCCTCCGCTGGCCTGTTTTCCTCTCCCCTTTGCTGTCGACCTTTGGGAGAGATATTATTGGTCTTTGCTTTAACTGCCTTTGTTTCTAAAAGAGTCTCTCGCTGGTGGCTCAGTGAAACATGTGAGCCCTGAGACACAAGGAGGAAGGCTTTCCTGGTTGTGACTTTGGGGGGGCAGGGAGGAGCGGACGCCGTACCCCTGGGAGCCACCCCAACGTGAGTGCACGCCCACCTCTCTGAAAGCCCGCGGCTGCCGCTCAGACACCGGCGTTCCAGCCTCTCCCTCGGGGTCGCCGGAAGTCAGACAGCAAATATTAAGTGGCTGTTGGTCTTCATTGACTTTAGTGTCAGGAGCAGTCAGTCGTCTTGACAGCAGATCATTTATTCCGGTCAATACACCTCTCAAGGGGCCGTAAATCTCGCTGATGACTCCGAGGGTCTGGCGTGCCCGGACTGCCCGATGAGACCCTTCCAGTCTCCTCAAAGAATTCCTCTGGGGTCTCGAAACACAGAGTGGGGAGACACTGGAATGGACTCCGGCAGCCCAGCCGGTCACGTCCCTGATCGCCCCTCGTTGAACACCAAGCCGGCCTCCGCGGGGCACCGTTCCCAGCGCGCACCGCGGTTGCTGTCAGCCTTGGGGTGCGCGCCGCCTGCCGCGTGGGCTGTGTGTGCAGGCGGGACCCGGGCACCGGGCGGCGGCCTGGACTCGAGACTCTCACAGGACGTGTTCAGAGGCACTCGAACCCCTCGGTCAGCGCTGGTTTTCCTGAAGCGATGGGAAGCGTTAAGTGGTTTGCGGCGGAATACTAATGGCTGGCTTTTGTCCTGGGCCCTCTGCGGAGCACTTCACGTGGATCGGCTCGTTGGCCCTTTACCGCAGCTCCTGTGGCCTTGGGACATTGTCCCCCCCCCCCCCGCCCCCCAGCCTTTGCGAAGGAAGGACTGAGCCCAAGGTCGTGCTGAAGGTGCTAGTGCCAGGTCAGAGGTGGGGCCCCTTCACCTGGTTCCAGGGCCCACACTCGTCGACGTGCGAGGAGCCTGGGACGCACGCTGGCCTTCGCGGTGGGTTGTCCTGTCCCGTGTCCCTGCTGTCCTCCCCCCCCGTCCCCAGCCAGCGTGTGACAGCCAGCTCTCTGCTGGGAGGAAGCGCTGCCTCGCCGTCTGCCCAGGCCGGATGGCCGGGCCGGGCCGCTGCGCGCCGCCGGCGTGCCTCCTGAGTGCGCCGCAGCAGGGCACCGCCACGGCCCACCCTCTGGGCTCGTACAGGGCTTCTGAGTGACCTCGGACACAGGTCCCGGTGACCCGTAGTAACAGTAACGAGCAAGTGGTGGTGTTTGAGTATTGCTTTTTGAAATGCAATTTTTTAAGTTGTGGGTTTATATACTGTAATTTTAACAGTGGCTCTCATGAGCGGGAGGGGGCCTGCTTACGTGTGTCTCAGGAATTTAACTGTGCTCTTCTGGAGACTCTGTGGCCTCCCAAAGAGGACGCCACGAGAGAAGGCTGAAAGGAAAATGTTTCCATCTTGCGCAGACGAGATGACCTCTGACCCCGGCCCAGATCTGAGTTCCCGCCTCCCAGAGCTCTGAGTGAGGCAGCATTTCCACCCCGGCCCCCACCCCCACCCCCACCCCAGGCCTTGCCTGGCCCCATGTCTGCCCCGAGCCCTGGGGGTCCTGGGGATGGTGCCTGGCCATGACCCTGCAGCCTCCGTCTGCAAATGCTTTGCTTTCGTCGGTGGTTCTGGGGGTTTCTCTGTGGCCGAAACACTCGCTGGAACGTGGCTGCCCCGTGAGGCGGCACAGGCCTCCGTGTGGGCGAGCGTGGTGCCCGGGGGTGAGGCTCCCCGGACCAGCTGTCCCTGGCAGCCCCGCCCACTCGGAGCAGAAGGCGAGGGGCTTCTGAGGCCCTGGGGAGTCTCACGCCCCTCTCCCATCTGTGGGAGAGTCGGGACATCTTCCCGCCACAGCCCCGGGCTGCGTCGTGAAACAGTGAAGGCACAGATGGGTGCTGAGCTGGGTGCTGGGAGAGAGGAGTCAGCCACTCTGTGTTTGCGCCCCCACCCCCCATCAGGGGGGCCAGTGCTGCCCCCTCAGGGGGGCTTGAGACAAACGGAGACATTTATCATTGTATCCGAGGCATCAAACACGGTGTGGAGGGCTCAGCACAAACTGAAACGTGCCCGCCCGTAACCAGTCAGAAGGCTGATGGGCAGCCGGGGGCCGGCCCTGCGGAACAAACTCATTGCGTTCCGCCTCCTGGACGCTCTCGCTTCAGTGGCCCCGGTTCATCATCATGACCCCCCCCCCCCCGGTGAGGCGGGCATCCTCCGAACGACAGCCCGAAGCGCGGGCTGACGGATGTGCCTGCAGCCCCAGCCCCCGTCAGGAAGACCGGGGTTCAAGTCTGGGGGCCCTGGGGGGTGGGGGCTGAACCTGCTTCAGTGGGAACACAGGTTTTGGGGGCACAGGTTTTGGGGGCGGGGGTGAGGACGAACACCCGCCCGGGGCCATTCCCCACGCGTCCTGCCTGCACCGGCGCCCTCTTTGGGGCCTTCTGGGAGCCCCCCACCCCCACCCCCGCCCTGGAGCAGGCACTCGGCCCCCTCCCCCCTCGAGTTCCCCTGGGGCCTCTGGGGTCTGTGTTCTGTCCGCCTTCCTTAGGGGCAAACCACCGTGTTGCTCTGTTTCTTAGCGGCCACTAAATAAACCGTCGGGCGGGTGTGCGGTGTGTGGCGGGTGTGCACTAACACTGGAGTGCCCCGACGCAGACTTGTGTCGTTGCAGCTCGCCAAGAACATCGGGAACGCGGGCTTCAACGAGATCATGGAGGGCTGCCTTCCCGCCGAGGACTCGGTCAAGCCCACCCCGGGCAGCGACATGTGAGTACGGGGCTGGCTGTTGCTGCCTCCGCGCGCCCTGGCCGCCCTGCCCCCGGCCGCGGAGACGCGGGAGAGGAACGGGGTCGGGCACAGACGGCGGTTGTTTCTCTAGGGGGTAAATCAGCCTGATTTGTTGTTGTTGTTGTCGTCGTCTTAAGTCCCCTGGCCCTTTAGGGGTGTCCCACCAGAAATGTGGCGTGGCCGGGTTTCTTAGGAAGAGGCCACCGCAACGCCCGTGGGGCTGGGGCTGCTGCGTGCGTAGGAGGCGTGGTGCGTGTCGCCCTCTGCTGGCAGGGTGTGGGTTCACACCTTCCTTCCTTCCTTCCTCCCTCGGGGATCGTGGGCACGCTCTGATCTTGGGTCTCTCTGCGTCATGGGAGCCCCCGAGAGGGTCGGGTCTCCCAGCAACGCGATTGGGTGTCACTCTCTTCCCTAGTGTCTTTGCAAACGTGGGGTGTGTTGTTTCCTTCAAAGAGAAATACTTCCCGTGTTTTCCTGTGGGTACAAGCCCTGGCGGAGAGGTGTCTGAGCCTCACCGGGCAGCAGCTAGCCCGCTGAGGCAGGGATTACAGCAGAAGACGCTCCTGCCGGTCTTAGTGCACAGAGTGCAGGTCACCCAGGTCACGCTGGGCTCTGGAGGGCGGTCGGGGTCCCCCTAGTCAGCACGGTGCCTGGCCTGCCCGCCTCAGACTTCCGCCCTGGTGGGTAGGGTGGCCTGTCCTCCCTGGGGAGGCCTGCGGTGTGGGGCAGAGGACGGGGAGAGGGGGGGAGAAGTCCCCCGGCCACAGAGACGGCCGGTGCGCCCGGACCAGAGTGTCCGGGGGGCGGGGACGGGAGAACTCTGTGTAAAGGGGAAGTGTGGAACTTCGTCTGCAGAGGCAGCACCTGCGTTGGGACGAGCCTGGGGTAGAATCCATGGCACGTGGCCTCCTGAGGGCGCTGGGCAGCGGACGGTGGCTTCAGGAGCTATGTGCAAGCAGGCGGCAGTGTGAGGGCCCTTCGTAAAAGCAGGGGATTTGGGGGATTTGTAACCATGTGGCGGGGGCGCGTCTTTGGGAAGCCGAGGTCGCAGCATCTGTGTTCTTTCATGTTCTGGTGACATGGCTCCGTGTGGCCAGGGGCTGAGGCCACTGAAGGGGCGCGTGGGCGTCGTGTCCAGTGCATACCCTCCCGGGCGTCAGCTGTCGGCGGTGGCCTTCCCTTGAGACCAAGTAATGGGTGGTTTTTTACACCCGGCACGAGGCTCTCGAAGCCGTCCTCCTCTCTGAGGGCGGGTCTGGGTGTCAAAGCTGGGTTCCGGCCCCCAGCGGGAGGGGGTGGGGCAGAGAAATCCCAGCTCCGACCCGATCACAGGACTCAGGCAGGTGTGTTAACTTCTCGGAGCTCTTTTCCTACGACGTGAGCAGGGAGCCAGCACCCCACAGTCCCTGGGGCGTTGGCGAGGCCATGCAGGGGTGCATGTCTTACTGGGGGGCCATGGGGGTCCCACGCTCCCCGAAAATCCAGGCCCCTCGCGGGTCAGGTTTCCACTGGAGAGGGGCCCAGAGGTGCATTGGCTGACCCTGGCGTCGCCAGAATGCCCCGTTCACTCATGACCGAATCCTGGTCTTGTGGGGACGTGGCGTCTGATTGGCACCTGCTCCCACACTGAAGGTCCTGGGTGCCGGCACTCTCCTGGAGTGTGGGTCAGTTCTGAGCAGAGCACACGATATGTAATGTTCTCCAAGTGCCAAGGGGACTTCCTAGAGGTCGAGTTCTGCTTATTCTGGGGCCAGGGGGTTCTGGGCCGTGAGCGCTGCTTGCTGGGACCTGCACGAAGTGAGTGTTCCCTCGACACTGAGACCCCCGACACTGAGACCCCGCCCCAGCGCTGGCACAGTGACAGAGGAGGCGCACCCCTTCCCGCCCTCTCTCTCCCGCAGGAGGGAGGTGGCCATGCCCCCTCCGCTGCTGGGTTTGCCGGGGCACCTGGGCTCCCGTGGCCTTCGGCTCTGTTCTGGCATGTTCCGCCCACTTCACGCCGCACCCAGGTCCTCACAGATGCCTTTCTGATGAGTGTGTCTCGCTCGCTTTTGTGTTTCCCGCCACAATAAGCTGATGGTGGTGGGGAGTGCATCTGTGATGAGGCAGCAAGTCCCAGGCCTGTGGCTGCTCACATGAGCCAGCGTCTCCCCGCCAGGGGAGAGGCACGTGCCGGCCCCGGCTCTGTCTCCCACACGCCGTCGGTGAGAACCAGGTGCATCCGGGGGCGTGGGCCGCCGGACGTGCGTCTGTTCGCAGGGGCCGGAACTGGGGCTCTCTCGGGACCCTCACGTCCCCGGGCCCCGTTCTCCCAGAGGAGAAGCAGCCCTCCTCCTGAGCAACACGCGAGCTGTGTCGTTACATAGCTTCCCTGCTTTTCTCCGAGAGCCTCAGCCTTTCAGGAAAACCCCAGGGGGCTGGTCCCACGGCAGCCAAGGTCACAAAGCTGTGGCGAGCAGGCGGACACCTGAGAGCCCCTCTAACAAGGGCAGGCCAGCGTCTGGAGGGCACCCAGGGACGGCCGTGGCAGGGGTGCGGGTCACCGAGGAGAGGGCGCAGGCAGCCTTCCCGTAGAGGCACGTGGGTCAGCGAGGGCGGGGGGCACCTGGGAGCCGGTCAGGGGAGTAGCTCGGTGGGCTCGGAGCCCGACCTCGGGAGACGAGGCCAGCCCGGCGGGCAGGCTGTGAGCGGGCGGCCCCGCCCACCAGCACAAGGCCCAGGACCCCTGCCCTGGGCCCTGAGGCCGCCTGTGTGGGAAGCCGTCAGGTCCCATTCCTTCTCCAGCTCGCTCAAGGTGTCGCCGCGAACCCAGGTGCTGCGGTGGTTGCCTGGCGGCTGCCTCCCCAACCAACCGACCATCCTGTGAGGGGGGCAGGGCCGGGTGTTTATAAAACCCGTCACGGCCGGGCGCGGAGTGGGTGCTGGGCGCGTGAGCTGCGGCCCCGCCTGCTCACGGGCCGGCGTGCTCGCCCGCAGGCACGCCAGGAAGGACTACATCACGGCCAAGTACATCGAGAGGAAGTACGCGCGGAAGAGGCACGCGGACGCCGCGGCCAAGCTGCACAGCCTGGGCGAGGCCGTCAAGACGAGGGACATCTTCGGGCTGCTCCAGGCCTACGCCGACGGCGTGGACCTGACGGAGAGAATCCCGCTGGCCAACGGACACGTGAGAGCGGGGCCGGCAGCCGTGCGCGGGGTGGGCCTGGCAAGGCTGGGAGAGGGAACCGCCGGCCACGTGGTCGAGTTCTGTGCAGGAGGCAGAGTGTGGGACTCGGGGGCAGCGTTGGCAGCTCTCGGGCGCTGGGGTGGCCTCGGGCTGGGCCTCGGCTGCAGATCCTGGGCCACGTGGGGAAGGGGGTGGTCTGCCGGCCCAGTGCACCCCTGCCCCCAATCCCGAGCCCTCCCATCCCCCTGCAGGGAACCCGAGGGGGAGAGACGTCCCCAGTTTCCCGGGAACCTTACTGAGAGGGTGGGGTCTCGCTGTCAGGATCCGCAGAGACCCCTTCCGCAGGAGCCTGTGGGCACACACGCCCGTCCCGTGAGACCCCCTGACCCCAGGATAAAGGCACGCGGGGCTGGGGTCGGCCCTGGGCGCCTGAGCGTGGAGCCTCCTGTGCACGTCCGGGGCTGAGAGAGGAAGGTCAGGCCACGGCGGGGTGGGATGGAGCACGCTCAGCTCCCAGCTCGGCCCCCGCCGCCGGGGCAGGTCGTGGGTGCCGCCTGCAGCGCTCGCACCCATCTGGTCTCACACGGCGCTCGCTTGGTCTCTCCTCCTCCGAGAGCCAGAACTGCCTTTCAGAAACGGCAGCGGTGGCCACGTGCCCCGACCCAGTAGGAGCTGCAGACGGTGGCCTTGGTGGCCTTACCTATAAGTGCGGGATGCAAACTTCAACCTGCTTTTAAACACACACACTCGCATGTGCTCAGGGGAGGGGCAGGTAGGCGTAAGAGGCTAGCGTATGGGAGGCCCGGGAACCTTCCTGGAGTCTTGGAGCCGAGAGCCCTGCTCACGGGCTCTCGTGGTGCCGTGAGGGGCAAGGTCGGAGGGCGGGAGGACTGGGGAACGAAACCCCGAGTTGCTCCTCACCTCCTGCGGAGCCGGGAGAGGTGGGGCCGGTCTGTGGAGTGCAGGTGCCCATGGGCAGAGCCCACCGTGGGGGTGCGGGGGCACCGTGCAGCCCAGGGGTGGGTGGGCGTGTGGCCAGAAAGGAGGAGAGGCTTTGGGGGAGAGGGTTGGTCACAGGTGGGACGGTCCTGCGGGGTCCTGGAACGCTCCGGCTTGCCCCGCAGGAGCCGGATGAGACCGCCCTGCACCTCGCCGTCCGATCGGTGGACCGGACTTCTCTGCACATCGTGGACTTCCTGGTTCAGAACAGGTAGGCGCTCTGGGGTCGGGGAGGCTGACCCTGCTCCCCGGGGCTGCCGAGGGAGGGGTCAGGGGCTGTGTGGCCCGGTGCCGGCCTTTCCCGGGTCCGAGCATGGGTTGTGGCCTGGGCAGGCTTTCCCGTCCGGCCCTGCAGAGCCTGGAGCGTGAGGAAGGGCGCCCGCCCTCCGTGGGCTCCGAGGGGTCCGCGGGGTCTCAGGGAGACGCCAAGCCCCGGAGGGCAGGCTGACGGTGGCCTCCACCAGCGCTCGAGTGGCCTGTCTCAATGTGCGGGGCACCCGGTCTTGTTTCACGTTGGGAGAACCTTAGACATCCCCTCACAGTCCCCACGGAGCCCGTTTGCAGGGCCCGTCCGGGGCGGGCAGGCTCAGAGGTGTCTGGGGACTTCGGTCTTTGAAAAGGTGGCTTTTGCCTTTTCCAGCGGAAGTGTCCTTAGTGAGGTGGAAGAAGCACGTCCGTCCTCCTGTGGGACAGGATGGGCGAGTCAGATGGGCTTCCTGGGGCCTCGGGGCACTGGTGGGGAGGGGGGAAGGGGAGGGGGAGGATTGTTGAGGTCCGGGGCCGTCTGGGAAGGCAGTGCCTGCCGTCTGGGCCCCTGCTCAGGTGCCGCACAGGTGCCTGGCGCTCTCTGTGGCCTTTTCTGCCATGGCTGTCAGTTCCCTGGGGGCCCGCGTCCAGGCCGCTCCGTCCACAGGAGCGGGGGTGGCACTGGGCCCCCTGCCCTGCAGGAGGGCTGAGGGGCATCCTCCCGGCCGTTCTGAGGGCTCACCTCTCTCGTGCTCAGGCCCCTGGCCCGGGCCCTGGCAGCCCGGTCCTCGGGCTGTGACCCACTGTTCTCTCTCTCCTCCCCTTTCCCGGCCAGCGGGAACCTGGACAAGCAGACGGGAAAGGGCAGCACGGCCCTGCACTACTGCTGCCTGACCGACAACGCTGAGTGCCTCAAGCTCCTCCTGCGGGGGAAGGCCTCCATCGAGATAGGTGCGTGGCCGGCCGCCGGCCGCAGTCTCCGCTCTGCGCCCCTGCCCAGACGCGGGGAGCAGGCCCTCCGGGCGCACACTGGGCTGCCGTCCGGGCTGGGGACAGAGAAGGGGCCTCCGCTGGCACGCTCTGCAGGGCTGCCCAGGGCTGGGTGCTCATCAACACCTTCATCTGCAAACGGTCCATCATGTGCAGGCATCGGATGGGTGACGAGGGACAGAGGGTGGGTCCTGCAGCTGTCCCTGTGGCTGAGGGCAATTGGGACAAGGTTTGGGGCATCTCGCCCTCCTGTTCATAACCCACACCCAGGACCAGACTCGCCCCTGCTGGCCCTGGGGTGGCAGGTGCACCCGGTCTCCTCCAGGAGGGGCCCTTGCTTGGCCTGGCCTGGCCTGGCCTGGCCTGCACCCCTCCCCCCTGCCATGGGTCCCTGCCCTCCCGCCAGGCACAGGCGGCCCAGCGGCCGCTGGCTGTGCTGGGTCATCAGGAAATGCCTGTGAGGCCTGTGGAAAGGGGGCAAGGAGGCCAGACCAGAGGCACACGCCTGCCCGAGAGCCAAGCCTCTTGTTCTTGTTTTTAGAGATTTTATCTGTTTGTTTTCAGAGAGAGGGCAAGGGCAGGAGAAAGAGAGGGAGAGAACCATCAATGTGTGGTTGCCTCTCATGCACCCCCTACTGGGGACCTGGCCTGCAACCCAGGCACGTGCTGTGACTGGGAATAGAACTGGTGACCCTTCGGTTCACAGGCCGGTGCTCAATTCGCTGAGCCACACCAGCCAGGACAGGTCTTTTTTCAAAACATTAATAATCCAACCTTGTTGACTGAGGCTTATTTAGAAGAAAGGACACAATTTTAAGTTCATAGCTTCAAAAGAAGCGTGATGTTGATCACGGCCTGGTGCCTGCTGCGCTGCTCGCTGAGCCCGGGGGGGGGGGTGGGGGGGTGGTCCGACACCCGCGGTGAGCTGCCGCGCTCAGTGCCAACCTGCAGGGCTCGGCTCTCCGGCGGCCTCCCCAGTGTGATGCACACAAACCTGTCTGTGGAAGCTCCCCGGCCTTACACGGCGGCCGCTCTGGGCAGTTGCAAGGCCAGGTCCACCCGCCTGGAGCGAACTGGCTGGGGGTTTCACTGGGGAACTCACTGTTCCGTGCACCTTGGCACCACCTCTCTGCGCCTTTGCTTGTCTTGGTGTCGCCCCTTCATGCGTCTCTGTGGCCCCCCCCTTCAGCGAACGAGTCGGGAGAGACGCCGCTGGACATCGCCAAGCGCCTGCGGCACGAGCACTGTGAGGAGCTGGTGAGTCCGGCGGGGCCAGGCCTTCCCCGGGTCCTGCTCCTGGGGGGGGGGGGGCGGCCTGGAGAAGTCATTGGAGGGGCAGGGGCTTGGAGAGGGTGCGGCCGCCCCTCCTAGCGACGCGTGGACCCACGGACAGAGCCCACCGGGCGGGGGCGGGGAGGCCCCAGTTTGCAGTGGGGTTCCGCTGCTGTGATGGGGGAAGTCCCCCCACATCTCTCTGTTCTGTGAGGTGGCGTCAGGCACCCCGGTTTGCAAGGTTGGGAGGATGACCGTGGTGCAAGGTTGGGAGGATGACCGTGGCACTCGGTAAAGCAAGTGCAAGTGTAGGTAGACACAGCTGTTCCCGGCGGTGCAGTCGAAGTGCGGGACGGTGAACGGGTACTGTTCTAAGCACTTTGTGGCCTTGGCTCATTTAATCTTGGTTACTGCCTTAGGGGAGGCTTCCTACTGTTCTCTCTACTTTATAGAGGAGGAAACGGCACAGAGAGGTTAAGTAACTTGCCCAAGGTCACACAGGCGGCCCTCTGGCAATGGAGAACATGAAACCCTAATGTCCTGAGACGCCCAGGCTTCTCTCCTGTGCGTCCAGAACAGAACTAGCTGTCCACCCTCCTGTGGACACATTGAGTTTGCCCCCACACACAGAGGTCAGTATGACCAGGCTGACCACCATTCTGTGGCTGTCAGATACGCCCCTGCCTGCGTGCGGTTGACAGAGCCCTTAAGGGGAGCTGCGAGGGTTGAGCTTCCTGGTGATCTGTGAGCCAGGGAGGGGGTTTAGCCTGATACCCAGAGAGTTACAGAAGCCGGCCCTGTAGTGAAAGGCCAGTGCCCCGCCCTGCCCCGCCCCACCCCCAGGCTTTCCCTCCTGGTGGATGGCTGGGCAGAAGGATGCCCCCTTCCCGGGCTGAGTGCCTCCCCCGCACCTCCCTCCCCTGATGGGGCTGCGAGTCTGCGCGGCCTCACCCACGGTCCTCCGTCCTCCCCAGCTGACCCAGGCCCTGTCCGGAAGGTTCAACTCCCACGTGCACGTCGAGTACGAGTGGCGGCTGCTGCACGAAGACCTGGACGAGAGTGACGACGACGTGGACGAGAAGCTGCAGGTCTGTGCCGGGCCGCGGCGGCCCCCGGGCTGAGACCGGGCCGGAGAGCTGTTGGCCGTCGGTCGCCCCAGAGAGCGGGCTTATGAACGGGAAGCGCAGGGGCAGGTGGAGGGGACTCTGGCTGGTGAGGGGAAGCGGCTTCTGTGTTGAATCCTCCGCAGAATGCAGGGTGCGGGTGGGCGGGGAGCGGGTATCCACTCAGAGACGTGCGACTCCCAAGGCTCGCGGCTCCCGTGGGACCGTGGGGAGTCGGGGCCGTGCCCAGGTAGACGTGGTGCACGGGAGGCGGTCACCAGGGGCTCGAGCACGGTGCCCGAGAGGGGGTCCGTGTGCCCGCATCCCACACGCCTGCCCACCGCCCCCCTGCAGCCCAGCCCCAGTCGGCGAGAGGACCGGCCGGTCAGCTTCTACCAGCTGGGGCCCGGCGCGGCCTCCCTGGCCCGAGACGCCGCCGGCCTGGCCAAGGACAAGCAGCGGGGCTTCGCGCCCAGCGTCCTGCAGAACGAGACGTACGGGGCCGTCCTGAGCGGCAGCCCGGCACCCGCCCTGCCTGCGGCCCCCAGCACGACCAGCGCCCCCCCGCTGCCCCCGCGGAACCTGGCCAAAGGTACTGAGCCCTCGCAGCCCGGCCAGCGCGTGCGCGGGGTGGTTCTCAGTGTGTTTTCGGAGCTAAGTAGCCGCTCTGCCCCCTCCGCGCAGGCTTTGGGCTGGCGGCAGGGTGGCCGGCTTCCCTGGGAGCCTCTGGTCCTGCAGTTTTCCCGTTCGCTCCCGAAAGGAACACCCTCGGGCACAGGGCACTGCGCGTGGCGTAGAGCATCTCGACGGTCCCTGCGCTGGGCAGGGGCGTGGCGTCTGCGCGCCTGGGGAGGCAGGGACTCTGCCCCCCCCCCCCCCAAGCACCTTCTGTCTGGGCCGTTCCTCTCTGCTTTCCAGCACTCGAGACTCCTGCCTTTGCCTTCGTCTTTGTTACTTCTCCCCCGCGTGCACTCAGGCGGGCGGCCTGTGGCCCCTGTGAATATTTTCTATCACTGCGATCCCGGGGAATGAAGGATGCAAAGATGCAAACTTGGGGAGACTCGTAAAATAGTCTTTGTGGTCCCACCAGCTCTCGCTACACTCTGCCACTGTCACCACATAGTGACTTCGAGTCAACGGATGCTATTTTTTGTCTTCCTGGAAGTGGAAAACAAAGCCCAACTTCAGTGATTTTCCCAGCACTGGGGCCCCACTGGCCACAATGCTTCTGAAGGGGAGTCCAGCCAGTGGCCAGCCCGGCACTGGGCTGGGGCTGGCAGCCGAGGCCTGTGGTCGGGGAGGGGCTTCCCAGGGGGGGACAGGGGCCTCTGTGGGGCGTGAGGTCCAGGCACAGAGGCTGCTGCGGGCGGCTGGTGGTCACAGGAGAGAGTCCTCTGTTGCATTTGTGTGGGAGCTGCTCCCTGGGAGGAGCATGTAGGGACAGGTGGTGGCCGGGGCTGAGGACGGCGCTCAGCAGGTGCCATCAGGCTGGGTCTGTGCCAGCTCCCACGTGGCCGGGCCCCCGCCATCCTGGGTGTCTCACACACCGTCCCACATGGGTCTGGAGGCCCGAGAAGGTCGCTGAGCCTGTCGTCCAGTCTCGGGGTCGTATCCTCAGGAGCAGGCCCCGGGAACCAGCCTGCTCACCTCCCCAGCAGCGCCCACGGGCTTAATGGGAGGACCCTGCACAGGAAGGGAGCTGCAAAGCCAAATCCCACGGCTGCCCAGTCCTCCCTGCCACCCTCACCAGGAGGGGCCCAGGGCAGGTGGGCGCAGCAGCTGTGGTCGGGTCCCTGGGGTGTCTGACTGGCTTCCCCCCTCCCCCCCACGCCCAGGCACACGTACTCATTGTGTCGTCTGCACCCCATCGCGGGCTCGCACTGGCTCTGTGGTTGCGTGTGTCAGGTCAGGAAAGGTTGTACTTTGCTCTGTTCGGTTGTAGGGAGGGAATGGAAAGCTGTTCGTCCTTATTTCTTGCTTTCCTGACGTCTTAGAATGAGGGTTTGGTTTTCCTCTCCCCACTTTTGCAGTTTGGGCATTTAACTTCATGTCTTACTCTTTTTCTTTTTTAAGAGTTTTATTTATTTATTTTTAGAGAGAGAGGAAGGGAGAGAGGGAGAGAAACATCAATGTGTGGTTGCCTCTCGAGCGCCCCCTACTGGGGGCCTGGTCCACAACCCAGGCGTGTGCCCTGACTGGGAATTGAACTGGCGGCATTTGGTTTGCAGGCAGGCGCTCCGTCCACTGAGCCACAGCAGCCAGGGCTCCATGTCTTCCTTTGGTGACTGTACGTCCCCTCAGCTCGCCCCCTCAGGGGGACTCCTTGTCCTTGGTCTAGTCCACACCTGGTCCAACATGAAGGCCCCCCCCCACAACAGCCAGGAAAGGGGGTCGGCATGGTCATGCACCTGAGCACACGCCACCCGGTGAGGAGGAGCACCGAGCTTGGGGCAGAGGAGGACTGTGACCAGGGCGGTGCTGCTGCCCTGGTGTGTCACCCCCTGGCCTGCTTGGTGCCATCTCTGCCCATTCCCGGCCAGCAGGGCGTTTGCGGGGGGTGGGGGAGAGCCTTCACCTGGTGTCTCTGATTTGCACCCTTGCCCCTCTGTGTTCCCTCTGAGGACAGCCCACCCCCTTGTGAGACGGTGACCCCCAGGCCGGGGGAAGGACTGCATGGACGGGAGAGAGATGCCGAGGCCCCATAACCCGAGCACAGTGCTCAGGGCGGGTCACTGGGTTGCCCCTTCTCCTCTCCAGTTGGCAGGTCCCCTGGAGAACAGAAGCCAGTGAGACTGGCGTGTGTCCGCTCCCGTCTCCCGGGCAACAGAGGGAGGGGTTTTTAAAGCTGCACCTCCGTCTGCGGTCCCAGTGCTGTTCCAGGAGGGTCCCGTGCACCTCGAGGGAGGGCGTCAATAATGCAGTTTCTGTTTCTGTTTTCGTTGTGTGCGCGTGCCTGCATGTGCCTGCGTGTGCGTGTGCAGCTCAGACAGCCTCCTCCGCTCACGCCCCGTGGAAGACGAGCTCTGTGAGCGTGGACGGTGTGAGCCGGCAGCGGTCTTCGTCCGATCCGCCGGCTGTCCACCCGCCGCTGCCCCCTCTCCGCGTGACATCGACCAGTACGTCTCTTCCTCTCTCCTCCCTGCCGGTGGGCCGCGCAGACCTGGACGGATGGCCCGGGTGGGGAGAGCGCGGCCGGTGCCCGAGGCCGCGTGGGGCGCCGTGGCTTCTCCGTGTCCCCGAACCCTGTGGCCTGCTCCCCGCAGCCGCGAGCTCCGGTTTGTGGGCACCTCCCCGCCCCGCCCCCCGCTCCAGGGGCTCGCTTGCGTCTCCTCTGTCTCCCCCAGCATTCTGGCCACGTTTCCGTCTTCCTTCCCCACGTGAGCCCGGGGGCCTTTCCTTGGTCTGTTTGGTGGGTCTCCGTACGTGGGCTCCGTCACTCGGACGGTGATCATTTGAAGTGTGTGCTTCTCTTCACTGTCAGCGTGTGGGGGCAGTCCCAGAGCCCGGGGCAGGGCCCTGGGGGAGGCTTGTCCCCAGCGAGCCCGGTGGGAGCGTCCCCTGGGTCAGTGTGGCCGGCTCCCCGCGCCGGCCGCAGGAGGGAGCGCTCGGCTCGCTGGGGGCCCTCGGCTCCCACAAGCTTCCCCTTGGCGTCTTCCGCCTCCATACCCTCGGTCACGGGCACCAGGAGCCCAGGCCAGGGCAGTCGGTGCCCCCAGCGTGTGGCTGCCGGCAGAGCAGGGCGCTGTGTCCGGGAGGGTCTTCCGGGGCCAGGGGTGACATGGGGGCCGTCCAGCCCAGACACACCTGAGTCACCCAGCAAGGGGGACCCTCCTCAGGGGCCAGCGTCCCGAAGCAGGTGTCCGCCTCAGCGAGGATGGCAGCAGGGACGTGCTGGACGTGGGGGGGGGGCGCCGATGTCCCTCGGAGGGGGCGAGGGGCGGGCCCACGCCCCGCGCCCTGCCCCCCCAGCTCCCTGCCCCCTGCCCCCTGCAGAAAGCACGTCCCGCCCCTGAGCCTCGGCCCCTCCTCTGCGCGGTGGGGAGAGCAGCTCGGCCCGTGCAGAGTTGGGCTCCCCCCCCCCCATGCAGAGTGGGCACTCACGGCCTCTGCCGAGACGGACCCACTCGCAGCAGCCTGGGCACGGGACGGGCGGGCGGGCCCCTGGGTCCAGACGCACACAGAGTTGACCCAAGAAGGCCCAGCTGCCCCTTTGGGGTGGGGGGGCGGGACAGGGCCTGGGCCTGGGCCTCGGCCGCTGCTGGTCTCAGCTCACAGAGCCCACGGCCAACCCCCTCGGCCTCTCCACGGGAATCTTCTTGGGGGGAGTTCTCTCGGGCGCATAGCAACCTTTTAGTCCCAACTCGGGGCTCAGAAGGACCCCCCCCCCCGGCGCCAATCCCGTTCACTGAGGGTCTGCAAGGGACGTAGGCTTCTCCTTGAGAAATAGCGACAGAAAAAAGGGGGGCCCTTCCTGGAGGAGCTGCTGGGGAGAAGGCTGGATGGGATGCCTGCCCTCTGACCCCCCGTGGGCCCCTCTCTCCTCCTCTCTCCGCAGATCCCCTGGCCCCCACGCCGCCCGCTCCCACAGCCAAGACGCCGGGTGTGATGGAAGCCTTGAGCCAGCAGAACAAGCCGGCCCAGCCTGGGGCCCCCCTGGGCAAAGCCGCTCCCCCGCCCCTGCCGCCCCAGCCGCCCAGCCGCCTCCCTCAGAAGAGGCCTGCTCCCGGGTAAGGATCGTCCCCTCGTCCCCGTTCTCCTGCCCCCTTCCACGTCCCCTCGGGGCCTAGGCGCACCGGCCTGCCTCGCTTCTTCTGTTCAGGGAGCCTCCAAGCGGCCCGTCATTTCATCGGCCGGGACTTCCGCGCCAGCGCCACCGTTTGAAATCGCCCAGTTGCTCCTGTGGCGGCCAAGGCCCAGGGGTGCCTGCCTGGGTTTCGCCAGGCTTCCAGCGTCCTAAACACAGTGTATCCAGAATTTTTGAACTGTGAAAATTCACAGGCACGTCTGTGTTACACCCCACGACGACTTTAGATTTCTGTTTAGTCCAGACAATGGGATTGTGGGAGTTAAAGTCCTCGAAACGCAAGGCCTTTCGGTTCTGTGAGTGGCCCACCCACAAGGCTGTCTCGGCCTCGGGGCCCCTGTGCAGTGCGGGGCGTAGGTGTTCTACAAACGAGGACGTTCTAGAAAGACAACAATGCAGCCGGCCGAGTCGGGGGGACAGCACGGACACACCCCGCCTCCAGTGCTCACACCCCGGGCAGGTTCGGCTGCTCGTCGAAATGGTGTCCTTGGCCGTGGGGGCGGCCGTTGCACGGCTCCCCGCCTGGGTCCTCGTGACGGGAAAGGGCCCCGTGCCGCGGGAATGACACTCAGGAGCCAGGACTGGGGGCCGTGCGCTCACTGCCGATGGAGCGTCCTGTCCGCAGGCCGGCCTGCTGGGTGGTCTGGACCGGACGCACCCACCCACACAGACACGTGTGTGTCTGCGTTTCTGGTGCGCACGTGTGCGCGCGTGCTCTCTATCAGTCCAGGAGTCCACACTGTCCCCAGCTCCGATTGTCCTAGTAACAAACCACACCACGGCTTACTGACATGAGGCACGCACGGCTGTTGTATCGCGCTCGCGGCCCCATCAGGAATTTGGGTCAGCGTCATGGGGACGGCTTGTTTTTGCTCCCCAGGATCGGGGGCCTTAGCGGGAGGGGGTTGGGCACAGGCGGGGACTCATCGGCTGGAGGCCAGTGTCCTTGGAGTCCGTTCCACCCCACGCACTGGGGGTGGGGGCTGACCGACAGCCGGAACCCCAGCGGGGCCGTCGGCTGGGGTACGTGGCTCTCCACGTGGCCAGGGCCTCTTCACATTGGGGTGGCCGGGCCCGAGAACAAGTCCCAAGGGACGGGCCTGGCCCTGGGGACCGGCGGGCCACCCCTTTGGCCACAGGTCACTGGCCCCGCAGTGGCAGAGCCAGGCCCTGCCGGGGGTGGGGAAGGTCACGGGCAGGGCGGTCGCAGACTCCAGCTGTCCGTGAGGGATCTGGGGGTGCTGTCCTAGAAAGCGCCGGAGGGTTCACTCTCATCCTCTCCCTCTGTCCGCGTGTCCCTTCTCTGTGATGAGAACCCGGCTGCTGCGTTCGCCTGCCCGGTGAGCGGCGAGCGTGCATCAGTGCCGGCCTCCTCCTCCTCCTCTGCCTCCTCCCTGCTCTGCCTCCTCCCCCCTCTGCCTCTCCCTCTGCCTCCTCCCCCTGCCTCCTCCTTGCTCTGCCCCCGCCCCCCCCGGAGACTCCCCTCCCTGAGGAGGCCTGGGGCCCAGCGCAGAGCTGGTCCTTGCCCTGCTGGGCTCCTACCCGGCCCCACCAGGCCGGCCCCTGTCCCCCGCTGGGCCGGTGCCTCCCTCGTCCCACTCAGGCACACCCCTGCACGGACGCCCCTGTCCCCCGCCACCCCAGGGTGGGTCCATTTTCCTTCGTGCCACCAGGTTAGACCTGGATAAACTCAGGATTTAATCTGCGTCCTTTGGTTCTGGGGAGTTCTGTTGGTTATTTTTAATGCCTTCTACTTTTTTCCTTTCTCAATTTAAAAGTAATTCTTACTGTTCAGATGTCAGATCCCCATGGCCTTTTTCTCTCTTTGTGAGGGTAAGCTAACTGCACTCACCCCTGCCCCGAATCTCCGGGGTTTGACCTCTGGGGGTTGACTTCTTGTCCACACACAGTTGTGTCCGTGTTCTGGCACAGCAGCCCCGAGCCGTGAGTCTCAGACCCAGGCCCCGCCTACTTCTGACAGCGCAGTCTCCATCCCGGGCCCAGGGTTACTTGCGAGGGGAAGGTGGGCTCCCCTCCCTGGCTGGAGTGATGCTCAGGCTCCCGGGACCAGAGCTGGTCCCGTGGCCCCACCTGGAGGCCGGGGCTGGAAGTGCCATTGCTGTCTGTTCGTTTGCTTTAGAAACTGACTGTCTGGGAGACTGTCTCCGTCTTCCCGTTGTTTCACTGGGTTTTCATCCCTGCTGTCCTGTAAGTCTGAAGTTAGTGGTAGCCCGTCTGGTCCGTGGACTCACTCTCTCTCATCGTGGATTATTCACGGTGGGTTTTGGGGGTGTTTCCCTTTGGCTTTGGCCTTCCTGCGTAATTTGGTTCTTCCTCGTTCTTATCCCTTTGTTTTGACCTCTGTCCTTTTGGAGTCCGTTTCCCCATAAATTCCGTGCTCCCTGCCTGTCAGCCGCCACTTCGGGGGGCATTAAACACTGACTGACCGACTGCACCCCGATGCGCAGAGCCGCCACAGCAGGTTTACTGGGGAACCCTGAATTTGGGCTCCTTTTTTTTTTTTTCTTTCCCTTGGACAGTTCGGGTTCCTGGGAGAACAGTCTTCCAGTCTGTTGCCTGAGGGAGCAGGTTTTCTGGGGGCTGGACGTAGAAACAAAGTCACGCTTTTACTTAGTCCCCCTGTTTCTCGAGACACTGCCGGCCACCGCACCGGGCATCCCCGAGTCCAGACACGGTTCTGCCCTCCCCAAGAATAGAAGCTTCTGGCCTTCGGTGGCGTGGGGAGGGGGTGGGGGATGCGGTTGCCAGGCTTTCCAGAGTCGGGGCTGGGATCTGGGGGCGCAGCTCCTGGAGCAGACCTGGGCCGGTCTGTGTGTCTGCGCTCCGCCCTCCCCCCCACGCCACACTCCCCGGGGCTTGGGCTCGCACTCGTGCGGCAGCGGCCTGGGCCTCCCTGACCGTGAGGGCTCTCCTTGCTCGGGGGCGGGGGGGGGGCAGGCTGCTTAGGATTCGTCCCTCCACCCCCAGCTTCCAAGATCTCCTTTCTGTCTGTCTGCAGTTCTCTTTGTCCTTTTTACTTTTTAAATTTTTTTCCCTGGGAGAATGTGGAAGCAAACGTATCTCTGCCTACAGTTTCTAACCAGAAGCCTCAGGGCTCTCGAATGCCTTCTTGGCAAGCTGTAAGCAGCCTGCGGGAGCCCGAGGCGGGGCGGGGGGGGGGGGGGCGGTCCCGAGCTGTGCTGCCAGGGCCTCGCTCCCAGGTCCGCTGCACGGCCGCAGGCCGGCTTCTCTCGGCTCCGGGGTTCGGGTCGTCAGCGCCTCTCCCCACCTCCCTCCCCTTCCCCGGCACCACCCTCAGGTTTGCTCTCCCCAGACTGCGGGGGTCATTTTCTCTCCCGTGGGGGTGGTGGGGGTGCGAGGCAGGGGAGGCTCGGGCGCCTGTCAGACGAGTCTGGGTGGAGGGCACCACGGGCGCGGCCCCGCGGAGCTCTGCTCCTGACGGAGAACATCGCCGCGTCCGCCCCGGCTCCGGACGGACCCAGCCCGCCTCCTGCTGTTTCCGTGGGGCCTGAGAGCCAAGGAGGGTTTTGGGGTTTTCAAATGATTGAAAAGCCAGAAGATTTCATGACACGTGAAAATTACGTGAAATTTGTATTGCGGCGCCCATAAAGAAAGTGTCACCGGAAGCTGGCACGCCCACCTGTTCACACGTTAACGATAGTAACGTCGAAAGTCAGGACAGAGACCTTGTAACCCGCAGAGCCTAGGAGATCTGCCCTCTGGCCCTTCAGAGGAGAAGTTCCTTAGAGGGTCAGGCCCCCCTGAGAGTGTTTCGTGGTTGGCTGAAGGCGAAGGGGTCAGCGGGGTCAGCGTGACAACTCCAGGGACACGGATGGAAATCAGGAGGCAGGACTGGTCAGATGGGTGGGGCCCTCCCCTGTCCACCCTTTAAATTGGCTGCGTGGTCCTCACCTTCTCCCCGCCACCGCGGCCCCAGACTGCGCTCCTAGGGCGGCGCGAGAAGCGGTCAGCCGGCACTGGGCCTGCCGCCCTGCCCCTCGCTTCACCCCCCACTCCTGTTCCTCCAGCCCACCCCCCCCCACTCCCCTGCGTGTGGGGTGCGCAGAGACATGGCAGGGGACTTGAGATGGCGCTCCCTTCTCAGCCTGTAGACATTCTGTCCCTCGCCCTCAGTCTGCGAGGTGACAGGCAGGTGTCACCCCTTTCGCAGGTGGGAGTGTCCGCCCAGAGAGACCCGTTGACCCAGAGTGGACTCTGGCCTGTTGGCCTGAGAACCGGGCCCAAGGCTCACGGTTGGGCCCCGAGCTGGGGCCAGCCGCATGGGCTACAGGCAGCCGGGGCCACGGCGCACACAGGCGTGAGCGATGCTGACTGGTGGTCAGGCAGAGCCCTCACAGCCCTGGGGTCGTCCAGCCTCGCCCTGGGAGACCAAGGCCCTCAAAGCGGGGGGACTGGCCGAAGGAGGGCCCAGCGGGCAGCAGGTGGCCCAGCGCAGTGTGGCCTGCAGGTCGTGTCATGCAGGCGCACGGGGACAGGGGCCCCTCAGGACCTGGGACCTGGCACTGTCTTCGGGGCCTCTTGTTCTTTCTGTTTCAAGAACGGAGGCAGCTGAATGACAGGGCATTAAATTGGCTCAGCCACTGCAACTTGGACTCAGCCGGCTCCTTTTCAGGAGGGGGTGAGGCGCCGGGGGGGGCACACAACGTGCCTTCAGGCCTCAGGCCTCAGAGCGACTCTGTCCCCCTTCTCTGCAGGACCGACAAGTCGACCCCACTGGTCAGCAAAGGCCAGCCGAGAGGACCTGGTAATTACTTCGTGGGAACTGGGTTCGTGGGGGGTTGTGCGCAGCCGCGGCAGCCTCCCGGGCCAGGGCCCAGCTGCCCTCTGCCCGGCAGTCACCTGCCCTCTGTGCAGCATGTGGTGCCGTATTGCGCCCCGGTACTGCGCCCTGGTTCCTGTCGCCTGCTGCTGCTGCGGGGGGCCGGGGGGGGGGACAGGCGGCCCCGGCGGGGTCTGCAGGTCCGCGCAGGAGGTGACCCCGTCCGTCCCCGTCTGAGACGCCTGTGCGCTCTGCGCAGCGTGCACGGGAGTCACGGGGCTCTTTGGCCTCTGGGGGACCTTTCCCTCAGTGGGTGAGAGAATCCCAGGGAACTTGCCTTCCAGACCCGACAGACACCAGGGCTTTTTATTAGTTGTTTCTGTCTCACGTGACGGAGGGGCCTCCTGTGTGCTGACTCCTCTCGGTCCTAACTCAGTGGGTCTCTCTGGAACAGATGCCCTGGGCCCTCTGCCCAGCACCTCGGCCCTGCAGCCCCCCGCGCCCATGCCCAGGAAGTCCCAGATGGTAAGTGGGCAAGACCCTCCTGCCCTGCCTCCTCCTGCAAGTTATTCCACGGGGGGGGCAGGTGGCTTCGTCCCGGGTGCCTGGTCGTTTGGACTGGGGCAGGACGCAACCCCAGAGCCCATCAGGTGGTGCGCTCGGCCCTCTCACCGCAGCTCCAGGTCAGCCCCTGCACATCAGGCACCGGCAGCCACATTCCCAGCTCTCTGCCCGGCCGGGTCTCTTCCCTGTCCCTTCTGGCTCCTCCTCCGAGTCCCCCTGGCCCCTGAGCTCCACTGGGCCGCCCCCTCCCGACTGGACACCGATGGGCTCCCAGGCCTGCGCTCGGGAGCCCTCCCTGCCCCAGTAACCCCTGACCCTGCCCTCCGCCGCCCAGACCAAGCTGAAGCCCAAGCGGGTCAAAGCCCTCTACAACTGCGTGGCCGACAACCCGGACGAGCTGACCTTCTCTGAGGGCGACGTGATCATCGTGGACGGGGAGGAGGACCAGGAGTGGTGGGTGAGTCCGCCCCCGGGCCCCCGCCCACCTGGCCGGAGGTCTCTTCCCTGGTGGGGCCCCCCCACCGCCCGAGTGAGTGTGGTCTCAGGCCTCAGGTGCCCGCCCACACATACCCACTTCTGTGTGAGCCTGATGGGTTCCCGGGCGGGGACCCCCGTGTTAGGGAGGGCGGGCCACTCGGGCTGCAGCTCCCAGAACCACCTGAGGGGCTGGAACGAGGCCCCTGTGTTCCTAGGGTGCAGCCCCGCGCTGCCCACCTGGGGGGAGGCTCGCGAGGAGAGCCGAGCTCAAGGGCACCGTCCGGGCGTCAGTCGTGGCGACCCTGCCGGGAGCCTCAGCTTCCAGGTGGGAGCCGGAGTGGGGTTCCCTGGCGCTCCCCCGGCCACCCTGGGAATCCAGCCTCAGCGTTCGCAGGCCAGGGGACTGGGCAGGCTGCCCGTGTCGCTGAGACACAGCTGCCTGGCCTGTGAGGGGAGGGCACCAGGGCCCAGGGTAGGGGTCCAGGGCCCAAGGAGAGTCACTGTCACCGATCAGAACGAGCACAGTGGGCTCACGGAGCCTGCCTGGGGGGCGGGGCCTGAGCGCCTGGCACCCTCTGGGTGCTGCCCCAGGGAGGGAGACCCTAAGGGGCCCGCTCTGCACACTGCGCTCAGACAGCTCACGGTGGCCGTGGGGAAGGCAGTCGGGCCCGCGGGACCGCTGTGCTGTGTGGAATGTCGGTCAGTGTCCCCAGCAGAGCCCCGGCCTGTGTGAGCTGTGCACTCCGCCCCCGGGCCCCGCCAGCACGGCGCCTGGCCGCACTGCCCCCGGCACGAGTGCCTCCTGGAGCCCCCTTGTGGCTGCTCCCCCGGGAGGGGCTCCGGGGTCTCGGTCCCTCCCTCCCTCCGTCGGCCTCGCCGCACACGGCACAGCAGCCGCTGCCGCTCCTGGGTCCCTGGGCGGCGGGCTCGCTGGGCCCCTCCAGCTGCGAGGACTGAGACTGCGTGGGGCCCAGAACTTTCTGCCGCCTCCGCCACTGCCCCCACCCCATGAGATCCGAAGCTGCTGTGTCTTGCACACAACCCACCTGCCAGCAGGAACCACCCGCTTATTTCAAAGCCTGTGGGGGCACGGAGCGGCAGGAAGGGGACGGGGTGGGTGCCGATGCCCATCCTAATTTACACTGTGGAGATCACACTTGACGTATAACTTATATAACTTGCCCAGAGCAAAAGTAACTGATTTTTTTGGAAGTCTCCGTGAATGCATGACGACATTTAAACGGGGCCGAGCCCCGGGTGCCACTTTCCAATGCGCTGCAGCTCACGAGCCCCCGACAGGCACCTCCTCACCCGCTGGAGGAGGAGCGGCCGGAGGGGCCAGCAGCCAGAGGGGCTGTCTGCCTGCCCCCGGCGCGGCCAGGACACATACCGCGCTCTGAGGGGGGGCCCCCTGGGAAGGGAGGCCCACGCTCTTTGGAGTGAGGCAGCGGATAGGGAGAGGCAGTTCAGTGTGTTACCCTCGGGATTCTTTGTCGGGAGAGATTCTTCTGCATGAGTTGTCCCCCCCCGCCCCGCCCCACCCCAAATGCTCCAGCGCCTTCCCTGGCTCCCGCACTCGGAGTTTTTGTAACACCCTGCCCTCCCCTCGGTTTCAGATCGGCCACATTGATGGGGACCCCGGCCGCAAAGGGGCCTTTCCCGTGTCGTTTGTGCACTTTATCTCCGACTGAACTGCTGCTGAACCGAAGCCACAGGTCTGCTCCTGCGTGGTCGCCGGCGCCCCGGCCGGACAGCCCGCCGCCGCGTGAAGTGCGCGGGCGAGCCGCGGCCCCTGACGCCCCTGTCTTGTCTTTAAAACTCAGAGGCGACGTATGGATACACGTGAATCGGTTTTATAATTTGTGATTTTCATGAAACATCGCTATCTGCTTTTGTTGGGAAAAATGGAATTGCCTGAAAGGTGAACTGAAGAGGCATGTGAACCACGTCACTGAGGCCCTGGGTCTCCAGGACCAGCCGACCCTGAACACGCTTGCGCTCAGGAAGATGGTCCTTCCCGCCCTCCCTGGCCCGTCCCTGGGGTCCGGGGCCTGGAGCGTAACAACTGTTTAGGACGCCAGTAAACTAAATGCCACCAGTTCACCTTTATAGATGTCTTTTTTTCTCTAAAAAAAAAGGGGGTTTTAAGATTTCCTTTGAACGCCACCCAGTGCTTACTTAAAGCCACTTGGAAACTGACCCGCGAGCCCTGTCCTTCCCGACCGTGGTCCCCGAGGTGGTAGCTGTCGTCCTCGTGTTCTGCGTGTGCGTGTGAGCTGTGGTGCAAGCCCCGCCTCCCAAACTACCGGTCGGTCGTCACGGCACACGGCAGCCACAGTCCATCCCGTCCCAGGTCCCCCAAAACCCCGTTTCCTGGGTGCGGTTAAAAACTGAGGGTGAAGGGGGTGGCCAAGGCGCTCTCTCGCGAAGCTCCCGTGTTCCGGAGATCGCTGCCTCGCGCTCCTTTCGTCACACGGACCCCCGCGGTCCCCACCTGCCGCCTCCCCCCGAGTGTGCCGCCTCCCCTCTCTCGCTCCCGAGAGCGTTTGCTCAGCTCGGCGTCCTGTGTCCGTGGTAACACCCCCACGGGAACGGTAGCCACACTGTCTGTCTGGAGATGTAACCCGTCCCTCCCCTCGCAGTCAGGAGCGTTTTGGAGGTCTGTAGGTCCCGGGCGATGAAACGCTCCGAACACGTATTTCACTATGGAAGCCATCGTATCGTGCTCTAGCTTAGGCTACTGGGGCTCGGGGGTCGGGTCGTGTAGGATAAAAACCAAAATTCATCAGGTTAATGCACTTGAGTGTCATAACCTCTACTCGGCCGTAGTGAGCGGAAGGTCTTAGGAGGGACGTGGGCGAGCGTGGCGCTCCGAGGAGGAGCAGGCGCGTGGACACGCCCACGTGGGTTCTCCCCAGGCGCGGAGGAGTCGGTCTGAGTGCGGGCCCGGGAAGCGGGGGGCAGCGCTTCGGCTGCCGTGGGGCACTGCCTGGGTGGGGGCGGCCGGTCTCTGTCACGCAAGACTCTCCTTCTGTCGTTGTCGTCGTCGTTTTCACGCGCAGTGTGCTTTTTGTTGCTACGACAAAAGAGGACAGAACTGGAATGTTTTACGATGTCGTACGGCAGGTGCTCCTTGCCTTTTCGAAACCCCGGGTAAAATGTGTCAGGGGGCGTAGTCTTTTTTTTAAAGCACTACATTAACTGTTCGGTTCTGATGTTTGAACCCTCCATTGAGTTAATTCCCTCATGGACCTGGGGAAGGAAACACGGATTTTGCACAGTGCACGGCTGTGCACTTTAACACAACCCCCCGCGTCGGAGTCCACCACCAGCCCCTGGACGCCCGGGCGCCGGCTGTGTGCGGACTTGAAGTCAGTGCATGCCGACGTCTGAACTCCAGCCCCCCACTAACCCGTCGGGTTCCCCGGTACAGGGGCGTCCAGGAAGCGGTTTTCCAACCTACAGTTTGGTGGTGCTACTGCGCAGTCATTAATGTGACTTGCCAGAGGAGAAATTATAGTGACTTCCCTGCTAATACCCTTTCCTGGTTATTTGCTCTTTGCAAATTAAAAAAAAAATACACACACACACAAAGGAAACCATTGTAGATATCTATTTATATTTTGTTTATGTTTCACGAACTGAGCTGCAGGATTCCGGCACCTCGCGTGCCGCTCCCATCGGGTCAGGCCCCCGGGAACGAGGACTCGGAGAGGTGGAGACTGGTGGTGACCGGTCCGCAGAGGGGGGGCAGGGCGGGGCGCGGCCGGAAGTGCTCCTGGAGGTGTAGGACACTCACTCCTCCACGCGACTGCTCGGGCCTCGTGGCAGTGCCACTGTACATACTGTATAACCTAAATCAATCCTTATTTTCATTGTCCTCACGCAGTGATTTATAATTAGAGAGCATGTTTAATAAATTTACTCTTGTCAACTAGTCATTTGACTAGAAAAAAAATAAAATACTTTTAAACGGACACGGCGTTATTTTTGTTTTTGACCCTTCGGGCGCTGTTTGTTAGAAGTCCTCTAAGAAAACCCACGGCCCTACGGTCCGGGGGTCCCTGGACACCTTCACTTGTGAGGCGGCAGCGGTGGCCTCCCGAGGTGCTCCCCCCCCCCGAGCTGAGGCGAGCGCTGTGGCCCACCGTCACGTCATCCCGAGACAGCATTCCGTTCCGGCTCCCCTCTCTGTGTCTGGAGTCGGCTATGTCACTGCTGCAGACCAGCAGCGTCCCCAGGCCAGAGCTGCAAGCCGGAGGCCGCTGGTCCCCGGAGGGGCTGCCGAGCAGGGGGTTAAGCTTGTGTTTAAAAGCAACAAATGAGGTTTCTGTTTTTAGTCCCCGACAGGTAGATAACATCAGCGAGTTAAGTCACTGTTAAGAAGATGCTTTAATAGAAAAACAAAGGATCGGTATTTTATACACAGCTCCCCCCCCCCCCCAGAAAGTAGAGCGAGGCATCACCTCCCGTGCTCACACCAGCTCCCGTGCTCACACCAGCTCCCGTGCTCACACCAGCTCAGCACTGCAGAGTGCAAACAGCTGTCGGGAGGACAGCTGGACTGCGTTCACGAGCGGTCGACTCCCACTCGCAGACTCAGGCCTTCTCAGACGTCAGCACGGAGTCGAAAGCGGTGGACAGAACTTTGCAGATTGCTTGTGCTTGCTCCTGCGTGGGGTGACAAGGTATGGCGAGGGAGTTGGTAAATCTGCCCCCGAGCTTGACCTGACCAGCAAAGGTGTAGACCTGCCCCTCTGCACGCCTCGCCTGACCCCTCACGGCTCATGGCCGGGCCCTGCACTCCCTTCCCCCGCTCCTCGGGGGACCCAGGAGCGGCCACACCCAGGACCTCGGCCTTCAGGAGGGGGCCTGGCCGAGGGGACAGACCAGCATCCCCAGCCCCCTGTGTTTACGAGCCTCTGATGCTGACTCGGGGTGCTGCCAGCGGCCATCCCAAGTGACAGCTGGCCACAGGTTACACCAGGCAGCCGGCCGCCGGCTCCTTACTCATGGTCTTTGCCGGGTTTTAGACAGGGGCGTAAAGAGCATCTCTGCAGCCTTTGCGAGACTGCGACAGCCTCCGGCTCTGCCACTGTGTCGGGTGCGTGACCGGCCGGGCGGCGCGGACCCTCACTCACCAGGCTGCTGCACTGGTACACCCACAGGCTGCACTCCTCGTTGCCGGCGTCCGTGGTCTTCAGGGCCAGCAGGCTCCTCCCGGCGCCCAGCCCGTCGTCGTAACACACCATGCGCACGATCAGGTACAGGGCGTGCCGGTGCAGGACGTCCTGCAGAAGGCGGGCACGGAGACCGCGGCTGTGTGCCAGCTTCCCCGGCCTCGGCGCGCGCGCGCCCCCGTGGGTGCGGCCCGGACGGCGGAGCACACGCATGGGTCTGGGCGGGCGCAGTGTCGCGGGTCCCCTCCCGAAAGGACGTCCCGGTGCGGTGGGCTCTGGGGCAGTGGGCCTCCAGGGTTCTACCTGGCCCCCTGCAGTCCGGGAGGGCGGGGGTAGGGTGACCTGAGCCCACATCCCGTGTCCCTGCGCCCAGCCCCAGGCCGACGGCTGGTCCGGACCGGCACGGGGTCCTGAGGTGAAAGGCTCTGTGGGCTCCACCACCTAGCAGAGGCAAAGGGAAGCTCCTACTCGTCCCCCCTCTAAGAAACGGGCCACGTTTGAGGCCAGCTGCCAGGAATGTGTACAAACCCACCACCACAAACTCGAGCAGGCCCTCAACACCCCAACACCTAACCCACACCTTCTCCGTAACACACTACTCACATACTGATCCGACGTCGACACTTTTATGCCGTACTTGGACACGCCCATGATGAACTCTTCCTCCATGGGGACAAAGGGCAGCTTCCCATCTTGCTGTAAAGCAAAAACACGATGAACAGCACACATTAGCAATTGTTCCGTTAAGTCCGATGAGCCGGTCTCGGGACCCGGCTGTCACAGACCCCGAACTCTTTAAAGAACGTGGCACACGCAAGAGCCCGAGGGTTTTCCCCCAAAGCGGCAGAAAGACCCCTCCCCCTCTTTTCAGTCAACAAGTCGGAGCGAAGATCAGATCGACGCGCTCTGGGTGCACTGTTCCGCCCCCTCGTCTGGGATGAACCCTCATTACAAACTCGGACACTTCTCGCAGACCCCAGGAAGGTTTACATATTCACGTCAGAGAATAAAGGTCTTCAAATGCGCAGAGGTCATGCTAACTCGAGGTCAGGACGTGCGGCCCCGGGCACCGTTTTTCTCAGCCGGGTCATGCCCCTCGCAGGGGTGAGGTGTGTCTTATCCCCGCGCCCCACAGCTTTGGGCGGGGGACTTGCTCGATGAGTGGGTCCTCGGCTTGCAAACGTATCCATCAGTATTCTGAGCTCCTCGGGGACAACCGGCACGGCAGATGGTTCCCCCGCCAGTCATCACCCAGCGTTGCTCCCTGAGTCAGACCACGGCCTGTCTCCTCCAAAAGGAGGTCCCGCTGGCGGTCAGTGCACGCTCCAGTCGGCACACGTTTTCGTGCAACTCTCTGCCTACGCTAAAGGGGCTGTGGGAGATGAGCTCGGGCCGCCTGCCTTCACGCTGGGGTGCCCGCCGCGCCACGGCAGCCTCCTGCCAACCCTCGCTCACAGCGAGTCTAAGGCAATTCCAGGAACCGAGACACGGGGGAAGCGTCGTGCTACTGTCACTAATTTTGGAAAGCCGGTTTCTATGGTGATAGGAGGAACCCAGCAGTCCTTATGGGAGGGAACATAACCCCAGCGTCATCTGGGGGGAAATAGCAGCAATCTTGCAGTATTCGCTGCTGTCTGCACGTTGTTGGGACTTTACATTCCAAACAGAAACTGGGGCGCTGATCGTGCCCGTCCCGACGCCCCAGAGTTCTCTGTCGGGTGGAAAATGGGACTGGCTGATGTCGTCAGACAGACGCGGCCCCTTTCATGAGGCTGCGGAACGTTCAATGATCCCCCTGCCACGGCCTCAGGGAACGTGCCCCAAAGAGTCACGGACACTAGGGCAGGACGAGGGGCTCTCCCCATCGCCCTAGCACCCCCACGTCCATGAACACAAAGACACACAGTTCTGTCTCCCTGGTCTCGGGTCCTGCTGGAAACAGCGTGAGTAAACAAACAGGCGTGTCGGGCCGACAGCACCGAGCGGTGGTGCAAAGAGCCAGCGCCAGGTGCACGGGGTTCCTCGGCCCGCTCGAAAGACGAGGCAGTGGTGCGGCACGGCTCACCTCCTCTGAATCCGCCCGTCCCGGAAACGAGGTCGGCCCACCCCCGAAAAAGTAGAAAGAGCTGCCGGCGGGAAGGAGCTGCGTCTGCTCACGCAGCACCGTGCGCCTCCTGCGCCCGGCCACGGCGCCCGGCCACACGTCGGCCGTGACCTGGACGAACTACGTCTCTCCCCCAAACCACGAGCTGTATCGAACAGAAAAAAAAATTTTTATTTTTTACCTGGGCAACGTCTATATAATTTATGAGGTCTAGAGGCCCTTCCAGGCTTTTTCCTTCAGACAGTTTCAGCTTCTCGATGGCACCGACGTATCTGATTCGAAATTCTGCACAGGTGTCCAGGTTGCTGTTGCTTTGACCTGGAGGTGAAAGCCGCACGGTGAGACTTCCCAGGAGCAGCTGTGTGGCAGGGCGCCCTCCGTCCCCGCCCGGGGGGGGTGGGTGCGGACGGACAGAAGTAGGGTTTCCTCACACACAAGTCCTTTTACAGGGTCGGGGGGAGCTTCAGACTCCACTAACTTTTTCTCTCCTCAGTCACAACACGCTAAGTATAAAACTCTAGAGGGGAATACATTAGTCATAAATACCCTTCGTTTCAAACAGGCAAGAACAAATGTCGACCGGGTAACAACCGAGCCCCTCTGTGACCCACAGGGACAGGGACACGGTGCTGTTTTCCGGTTTCCCCTCGCTCTTGATCGTTTTAACACTGAACGTGCTTTCTGACTCAGGAGACCAGATCGACCCCTACCATTCAGCCAGAAAAGACAGTTTTTAAAAATGTAGAGGGACAAGGGCTGGACAGGAAGTCCTGTCCGTAACCACCGGCATCAGGTTGAGGAACTGGGTGAGCTATACAATCTAGTCAATACAAAATCGCCCTGGCTGTTGTAGCTCAGTGGATTGAGTGCAGGCCTGCGAATGAAAGGGTCGCTGGTTCGATTCCCAGTCAGGAGGGCACATGCCTGGGTTTGTGCTAGGTCCTCAGTAGGAGGCGCACAAGAGGCAACCACACATGGATGTTTCTCTTCCTCTCTTTCTCCTTCCCTTCCCCTCTCTCTAAAAATAAATAATTTTTTTTTAAATCACTGAAGTATTTACTCCTACCAGAGTGAGGGAACACTAGGTGATGACTTTTTGGTGATGCTTACGCAATGAAACAATGCCCAGCCACGTAGTTAACACTTTAGAGGCATCTGGAAGGTAACAGACCTCATGCTCCCGTATCTCTTTTCCATCGTGTGTTTCCCCTCTCCCCGCCCCCACCTCTCTCTCACAGGGGGACTAGTCTATGGTCCTGGAAGGGGGAGGGAAGGAGAGCAGGCCAGTGAACACAGCCTGTTTCCAATCAGACACTGGCTGCTGGCGGGTCAACAGGTGTGTTATGTCAACGCCGTCAGTAAAAGAAGCCGTCTCTTAATTTCTGGAGAGCTGCATACATGTCTTCCAGTGCCGGTGATGACAGATGCTGCCCCTCCCTGCCACGTGCTCCCGACACGCACGAGCTAGCGTGTCTCTGGGCACCGGGCTCCGGAATCGTTCCCGTCAGCGAGGCGTTGGTCCCGCACCCCATACACAATAGCGCTCATGCCCTACCACCCCCTTTCTGTAAAAGCTGTTCTGAAACTTCGAAATCATCGCCACGGTGTTTTCCACACGCCCTCGCTCCAGGACCCACTCAGAGCAGGTTGGCCCCCTGCCGCAGCCAACCTCCACGGTGGCGGCTTCCACCAACCACGTAACACCCCCCGCCCACTCGCCACCAGACCTCGGGCCGTTTCTAAACTCTCACCAGACACGGCAGAGGAGAGAGAGAAAACCCAGATGCACAAGAACTCATGCCGCCCCAGCGAGACCAGCTGAGCCGCAGATGGCACGCGCTCCAGCCCCTCCGGGTACCTGAGCTTTTGGTGGAGTCTGTGTCCAGGCTGGCAACGGTGCTGGATCGAGAGAGGCCCCCGAGGCTGGAGTCCACGGACTGAGAAACGACAAACACACACACGGCAGGTGTTTAAACACACGTGGAAGCACTGTCTTCCCTCCAGTGCTCCAGCGAACATCCCTATCACTAACGTATTAGAGTTGAACCAACACACAACCCCCACCGCCCTCGCCATAGTCACAGCACTGCACGAACGTGGCGTGGCCCCGCCGATCTAAATCAAAGGCAGCGCCGCGGTGTCCTGATAAGAAGACACCTTATACTTCTATCGTCTGTGAAAATCTACACTTCACTTTCACGTTATCTCCCCTGAACCCACAAAGAACCCTGTGCAGAGGGCAGGCAGGGGGCAGTGCCCTGCTTGCTAAGTGAGCAGAGAGACCCAGAGAGGTGAAGTGATTTACCCAAGGTCACATCCAGGGAACGCCCCAGACCTCCGACCTCAGCAGAGCTCCTGACTACCGCCCCCACAGCCCCCCGCCCCAGGCCGCTGCAGGTCTGACCAGTCAACACCCAGGCTGCCAGGCAGACCAGAGCACGACTACCAATATGGATGGCCAAGAAAAACACAACACGAACTACGGAGCAGAGTACAAAGCATCGGACACGTTCGCATAGAATTAGTTAGGCACACGTACCACACCCCCTAGAATTCCAGCCCTGTGACTGCATGCAATTTCTATCACATAAAAAATCTTAAAATCGGTGTTTGTTTTGATGAGACCATTTACGGGTCCTGCCCCACCTTTAAGAATTTCACGAGACCTACCAAAACAATAAAGGTACATCAAGCACAGAATGAATGTGTCTCCAGTGCAACAAATGAATGTTAAAACACCTAGTTTGAAGACACGCAGCAGGTCTGCATGGTTAGTATCCTTCATGCAACATGAGGAGAGACAGAATCACACGGCTCGCCAATCCCGTGCCCCCCTACCTTGCTCTTCGTACTGATTTCACTGCTCTGGGAACTGCTACTACTGTGTCGCTTTTTGCCTTTCCGAAACATTTTTCACTATAGCTTGATCCACAGGAGCTCCCCTAGAAAAACAAACGTTTAGTTACACCAAGAAGAGCAACTTGAAATCACTTTGTGCAGCCTAGGAATAAAAACCATCAATTCCTTCCAGTTAGTTCCGCGGCACATTCCTCTGACTTTAACATAGTTTCCTTTGACCAAAAAGTTTGGATACTATTGTTTTGTTTTTTTTTTCATTATTTGTTTTTAAATTCTAACGCTCTAACCCATAGACTCAAAAAGGGCAGAAACCTGTTCATACCTAAAGGTGTGAAAAGCATTGTTTTCAGAAGTAACAGGCACGTCCTTTAGTTCTCGAAATGTTACTTCTCCTTAATCAATTCAAGACACTGAGATTCAGTTACTGTCTCGGGTTCACCGACCGTCAAGGTTGCAGTGATGCCACCCGCTTCGTAGGAGGCCGCCGGAGCTGCCCACCAAAGTCACCAGGCTGATGATGGGTGGCGCCACGTCTGCAACCTGGGCTGACCCGGCTCCGAAGCTCTTTCCGGACCCCACCCTGCTTCCCGCGTGTTCTCGCCGCGGCGTGCTGCTGCCACGTGCAGGTGCGCAGGCGGACAGTCAACAGGACAGAAACCCCCGCCCCGAGGCGGTGGAGAGACCACCCAGAGCCAGCCCAGAAAGCGAGAGCTCCTCACCACCCCACAAAGCAGGGTCGGACCCAGGAGGCAGCCCCGCGGCGCTCCCACTCCCGTCGCCCTTCCGACGCGACCCGTCCACGCAAGATACCGTGGTCCCCGGAGCCGCCGTCCCCGCCCAGGCATCGGTTACCCGGGGCTCCGCAGACCCCGCCGCCCATCACCCATCACGCGCAGCTGCAGCTTCGGGGCTGGTGTTCGCGATTCGTGGAGGGCGGGTCTGGGTAAAGAGTGCGGCCCCACCCATCCGCCCCATCGCGGGCCCCCCAGTTGGTGCCTCCAAGGCCCGCGCTCCCGACCAGGCTCAGCCCAGGTGCAGCGAGGGCCCTGCCCTCACCTCAAAACCCCCGGCCCATCCCTGGGGTCGTCTGCGGGTCAAGCACCCACCACCTGGCAGCCCGCGCCAGGGCAGCCACTCCAGTTCTAATTCCAGCGCCAGCTTTTCCGGCTCTCCGGCCCCGCCCTCCGGGACCGCCTCCGAGACGTCGCGCAGGCGCATTGCCGAACCCGCCCCAAGCTGTGGAACTGCCTATCTCCGACCGGAAGTCTGGGGGAGGAGCCTAGCGTCGCGGGCGCCGAAGCGCCGGAAGTTGTGCTCTGCAGTGAATGGGGTTCTTCTCTGGTTGGTGCCCCGTGGTTATGCTTCCAATTTAGAAGGAGTCCCGCGACCCGTTTCTCGTCCCTGCTTCGCCTTCAGACTTCCGAGATGTCGGTGATTCCTGCGGAGGAGAGCGACCAGCTGCTGATCCGACCCCTGTAAGTGACCAGCGGAGGGGGAATGGAAGCATGGGCTGGGAGAGCAGCGAGGGTTGACTGGGGCTGGCCGCCTCGGTCGCCACGCACTCGAGCGTGCCTCGGCAGCCTGCACTTGGCCGCGGTTGCCGAAGGGGTTTGGAGAACTGTTGTTCGCAAGGGGCCTGCTAGGTGGAATATGATTCTGCTTTTCCTTCCGTCTTAGGGACGAGTGTGTTGGAATTGGGGGAGGGGAGGCCTGTGGAGGCGCGGGGCGCTTTCTTAGTCACTAGAGAGCGGCAAGCGCCGCGGGAGCTGGTGGTGCCGAGGCCGGCAGGACGAGATGAGGACCTGGATAAGGCTGCGGCGGTGCGAGCAAGAACTAAATCTGTTTCTTAGTAGCCCCAGGACTTGACGTTTGCCGGAGTATGAAACAGGAAATCAGTTAGGGCTCTGTTAGGAGTTTCGTTCTTTGGGCGCAGACCCTAAGAAGGGTAGCAAGTAGGAGAAGCGGAAACGCAGAGGTGCCGAGGACAAACCCTTGGCCCCTGATTTTGCCTGGGAAGGCTGGTCTTTGGGCGGAGACTGCCGGCTGCCAGAGAAACACTTGGCGGGTCTGGATGCTGCTTAGACAAGGAGGTGTGGACGCGGAGAACCTCTAACCAAGCAGTGCGAATCCACACACGTGTTTATTGTTAGGCATTAGCTAGCACAACGTGGATGCATGCATTTCTCAAAAGGTTGAGCGTATCCACCTCACACATTTACCAGTAACCCGTAAGGACTTGTTGAGCAGCTACTGGGGGAATAAATACACTTCACATTGTTTAGTTCACTCCTGTCAGCTCCATCAGCTGTCAGGCACCACACTGGGCTCTGGGGATGCAAAGGAGAGGCGGGGCCCAGTTAACCGAATTCGCCCTTTTGGGGGGAATTGCAGTGCAAGATGAAGTACCGCAGAGAAGGTTTGCAGTAATTGGAGACCATTGCTTTGGAGTCAGGCCTGAAAGCCAGTCCCTGCTCTGTCACTTGTTAGGTCAGTCATCTCTCTGGGCCTGTTTCCTCACGTGGAAATAACGTCGCAGGTGTCATGGGGAGAGTTAAGATACTCTGCAAATGGTCACTGTTATTGTAACTCCAGGTAGGCATTGGGCCGACGGCCCCGAGATCACGGAAGAGGGACTTCTAGCAGACTGCAGAGAAGGGAATGCTTTTTCGTGCATCCTGGGACATAGGCATGAGCTGAGTCTGACAGAATGAGTAGGCATGTAAGACAGTGACGTATGGGGGCGAGGATGTCCCAGCCAGAGGAAGTGCACATGTGAAAACGAGGGTGGTCCCAGTTTGGGGCCGCTTTCCTCGTGGCTGTGGCTACAGGATTACCGGATGAGATGGGAGAGGCCGTCAGGGTCCACCCCACGAAGGACCTTGTGAACACACGGAGTTTGGGCCTGTGTCGTCAGCCACAGGGAGCCACAAAGGACTGTCAGTGGGGCGGGATACAGTGGAAGTCCTGTATTGGAGGATTGAGGGTTGCTCCCAGCAGCGTGGAGCAGATGAATAAACGGTGGGTTAGGCGGAGGGAATCTCGGATGAAATTGAAGTGATCCGAGTGATGAGCAGTAAGAGCTTGGAGCGAGTGGAATGGGCAGTGGGTTGGAGAGAAGTGGGCTTCGGAGAGGAAGGAAGTGAGATCTGTAGGACTCCGTGGCTGGTCAGATGCGGGGGAAGGGGAGAGGAGGGAGCGGAGCGGAGTGTCCGGGGGACTCGGTTCCTGGGTTGGGCAGCTGCCGGCCGCCGTGCCGTTCACCCTGGGAAACGAGGTGGGGAGTGTCTGGAGCCCACTGGGGGGGTTTTGTGACAGCGATAGTGAGATGTAACTCACACACCGCTCACTCATTTAAAAGGTGCAATTCAGTGGTTTCTGTTGTAGCCACAGAGTTCTGCAGCCGTCTAATTCCAGAACATTTTCATCCTTCGACATCTGATGAGCAGCGGCAGCTGAGGGCGAGGGGGTCTGAGGAGGAGACCCCGCAAGAGTGTAAAGTGGGGACGTGCTGAAGCGGGGTGAGCGGGAGGGGTGACAGGCCGCAGGAGGACAAGTGAGACGAGCACTGAAGGTGGCAGTTTGCACGTAGCAGCAAAGAGCTGCTTCGCAAGGACAGTTTCAGAAGAACGTCTGCTGAGCTCCAGGTGGCACTGAATTGGGTGCAGGTGAGGGAGTGGAGACAGGTGTGTGCACCTCTTGGGAAGTGGGCTGGGGAAGGAGAGCAAGCAGGAACTACAGGGTAGAATTAAGGGATTTTCATTTCAGGCTAAGAATGGGAGTAGTGTGTTAGAATGCGGACGATGGGAGAAATGCGGCCGCGTACTGTCCCCGAGGAGGGGGTGTGGAGGGGGACCGGGGTGGGGGGTGAAGACTAGCCTTACAGCACGGGTGTCAAACTCACGTTCACCGGGGGCCAGGTCAGCCCCGCGGTTGCCCTCACGGGGCCGAATGTAATTTCCGGACTGTACAAATGTAACTGCTCCTTAACAGCTAAGTGAGAGCTGCCGGGTTTGGCCCGAGGGCCTTGTGTTTGCCACCTGGGCCTCGGAGGGAGGGAGGTCTGTTCTGCTTTTCGGCAGAAATGGAAGCAGACGACACCGGGCGGGGTGGTGGGTGCAGCCGAGGAAATGGAGGAGGAGCTTCGGGGCAGAGAAAGCCCGTGCCCGTGCGGGCAGTGCTGGGAGCGAAGGGGAGCAGAGGGGGTGGGGACACTGAGGAGAGACAGTGTGAACCGTCGCCCTGGAACCCTCGAGGGAAGGCCGCGCTGGGGACACTTAAAGAGGCCGCACAAAGGGCCCGAGTCAAAGGCCAGAGACCCGTGGTAGCTGCGCGGCGGTTTGACTTTGTCCACGCCCTGCTCTGAGGTTTGGGGGCGGGCCCATCGCATGGCCGTCCCCCGGCGCGTGGACTGCAAGGTCCTTGAGGTCAGGGTCCGGGGGTTAGGCCTCTCCGTGTGCCGGGCACAACACTCGGCACACAGAAGCCGCTCCGTTAGAGCGAAGGGGGCACGAGCCAGGGCCTGGCGTGGCCGGGAAGGCGCCGGAGAGGGTGAGGCGTTGAAAACTGGAGGGTGTAGCTCAAAGCGTGTCTTCTGATCATTGGAAATTAAGGCTGTCAATTTCAGAAGAAAGGAAATTAAGTGCTTGGCATCAAACACACTGAAATAGCAGGGTACAGGGAGAGGGAGGGACTGAGGGTCTCAGGGGTAAGAAGCTACTCGATGTAACCTGTCTGGGAAATGCTTTTATGCTCTTGAAGTGCTTGCAAGTTTACACTACAGTGCCGATTCTAGAGGTAGCACTAAGTAATCCGCGCCACGGCCCGAGCATGTTTTCAGCACACCACAGCTGAACCCCAGTGCTCGGGCCGACAGTGGCCCCTGGGCCTCTCGGGCCCAGGCCATCTGCTCGGCCAGTTTGAACAACGGCCGTGCCCTGCGCCCCTGAAGACAGCTGCTCCCCACCCCGCGCTCACACTGTCCTTCCCGGTCGTCGTGGTGACTGTGTGGGACTCGCTGCCCCCAGAGCCGGCTGCCAGCGGGTGGGGCGGAGGGTGCGCTGTGAGAAGTTTGAGTTCATTGGGCTTCATTTTGATTGTTTTTATTTCTCCCCTTGAATGTTTACAGCGGAGCCGGGCAAGAAGTTGGAAGATCATGTATTATCCTGGAGTTCAAAGGAAGGAAGATAATGGTAATTACTGTTCTGCAGTCCGGCTGACGGCGCGCCTCTGTCTGCCGTGGGTGTTGGGCTTTTCCGCTACAGCAGTTACCAGTGTAGCTCCCGGAAAAACGCCCTAGTCGGTTTATGTAGGCTGAGCCGTAAACTGTTAACGTGAAAAACTAACACACACTTCTGCTCAGTAACTTGACAAAACATAGAGTCAGCTGAGGAAGTATATGCTGACCCGGAAAACTGTCAGCCAGAGCTCCGGGACCAGTGCTCCTGCGTGGTCCCTCTTCCACCCGTGCGGGGTCTGCCCTGCTCACTGCCCCGCGCCCACGGGCGGCCCCCGGCACACGGGCAGCATGGGGCCACGGGGCCTGGTGCGGCAGCCTCCGCACCCACGGCACCCACGGCAGCACGGAGGCCGCCGGCCTCGGGCAGGGCGGCCTGGCCCGGCCCCTCGCCCACCCCCTCACCCGACGGGGGTCGGAAGAGGGTCTCCGTGGCCCCCTTCGGAAGGCTGGTCGGTGACTCACGTCCGTCTGCCTCCACTTCCTCTGCTGCTCCCGTCCTCAAAGAACAGGACGTGTCACCCGCGGTCGCCCTGGCAGTCACCGATTGTGTTCATTTTGTAGAAATGAATAGAACTTGATAGGAGTGGCCCTGATAGGAATCTGTAACTCAGTAATGACCAGCGCTTGAGAAGCTGTCCCCAGTGCCTTACGGGACTGCAGCTGCCCTGACCCGGGCGGGAGCCGTC